CATAAAACAAAACTTGATTCGACATGTTAGATGAGACTGAAAATTCTTACCTGGGTCTGAGAAATGTGCCCAGGTGCAGAGATTTCTACTTGGTATTCACCAGGAGGCAGCACCAACCAATATTCTCCCGCGTTTTTATGAATCAATACATGGTGATTATGACCTTTGACCTCCACTTTAGCATCTTCAAGGAGAGTGTGGAAACGACCTTGTAATTTGCCACGAATACCATTGTGGACCTATAAATTATAACAATATCCTTATTTAAAAAATTGAAAATTGCACAAAGTTCTCAATACTAACCACATTAAATGCAATGTGCCACATGACCAATCATGCCCCTTGGCAAATGGGGCTTATTTTTCGACATTTACAGTCACTATGTATCAGATTAAGGTACCTGTCTGATAACAGCCATTAAAGACTGTTCGTGCTCATTCCACAGCATTGCCAATGCGCTCTCAGTGGGGGCGTGGCAGCATCCCAAGTTGACTGTCAGCTCTAGACACTTGTGTGCCATGTAGTTGTAGCCCTGCAAGTGAACCAACATATCTTAACAGTGTGCAAATAGTTGCAAGAGTCAGATACTAGCATGACTAAAAATTTTGATTAAATGTACCAAAAGTTGCCAGGAGATTGTTACAAGAAAATCTGCTACTTTGAGTAACATTCATATCATCTTACCTACAATTCCCAAGCAGTATGTTGTAATCTTACCTACTTTTCCCAAGTATGTTGTAATTTTACCCACATTGCCCAAGTATGTTGTAATTTTACCTACATTTCCCAATCATGTTGTAATTTTACCTACATTTCCCAAGTATGTTGTAATCTTACCCACATTTTCCAAGTATGTTGTAATCTTACCTACATTTCCCAATTATGTTGTAATTTAACCTACATTTTCCATTTATGTTGTAAGTTTGCTTACATTTCCCAAGTATGTTGTAATTTAACCTACATTACCCAAGTATGTTGTAATCTTACCTACATTTCCAAAGAATGTTGTAATCTTACCCACACAACCCAAGTATGTTGTAATCTAACTACATTTACCAAATATGTTGTAATTTTGCATACATTTCCCAAGTATGTTGTCATTTTACCCACATTTCCAAAGTATGTTGTAATCTTACCCACATTTCCCAAGTATGTTGTAATCTTACCTACATTTACCAAATATGTTGTTATTTTGCCTACATTTCACAACTATGTTGTCATTTTACCCACATTTCCCAAGTATGTTGTAATCTTACCTACATTTCTCAAGTATGTTGTAATCTTACCCACATTTCCAAAGTATGTTGTAATCTTACCTACATTTCCAAAGTATGTTGTAATCTTACCCACATTTCCTAAGTATGTTGTAATCTTACCTTCATTTCCCAAGTATGTTGTAATCTTACCCACATTTCCCAAGTATGTTGTAATCTTACCTACATTTCCCAAGTATGTTGTAATTTTACCCACATTTCCCAAGTATGTTGTAATTTTACCCACATTTTCCAAGTATGTTGTAATCTTACCTACATTTCCTAAGTATGTTGTAATCTTACCTGCATTTTGCCACAATGCTGTTTCCCAGTTGTAGCATTACCAGCTGTCTCCACAGGTGACTGCACACCTAGACAAACATAGTCAATAAACTAATTACTACCTATTGCTAAAATGTAATAGAACTTGAGTAACAAGTCATGAACAACAGAACTATTTCAATAATAGAATTGTGCGAAATCAAAGTGGAAAATTTCTGCAAGATGTTTCTTTTTAGATCACTGTACGACTAGCTTGAAGTTCAATGTGCCCCTGTATCAGTTTGTGTACAAACTATTCTAATATGATGTGAGGCTGTTCAAGAAAAACAAAGACCAAACCTTTTTTCTATTAATGTATAATGAGTAGAATACTAGATTGGGACTAAGAGAAAGTTTTCATATTGGGAGGTCTTCAGATATGAAAGATATTCAGATATACAACTCAAGTTCTAGTATACCTTTACCTTTGCACTCCGCTGACACTTGGTGTGTTGAATGATAACTGGTGTATATGTTTGCAAACTGGCGGAATATATCATCATGCTGTGTTACATTCATCTTGGTATTGTTCCCATTATCTAAAATTCAACACAATTTTATGAATGTACAAAAAAAATGATTGTATATTTCAAAATGTACAATATAGATGGAGGGGTACACATCGAGTTAACAAAATTATTTGCTCTTCAGAATATCACTCGGTCAAAATGATAAATCATGAATTGTAGGATGTTAGTCATATCATTTAAGTCTACATTTCCGTGGTCATTTGTAAATCCATTTTGAAAAAGTTGAGTTTTATGTATATCATTTTATGGTGTTGCTTAAAGGCCCCATGTAGAGTTTGAAAATATGTTTTTATCACTCATTTACTATTTTTCAGGAATTTAAAAGTTATTTTAGTTTAATATGCTATAGTCTACAATCTACAAAACATATGAACTAAAAAAATCAAGTTGACTTACTCTTCATCTCGCTACATGGATATCTGACTAATGGAGCGCCACTTTGTAAGGCAATAGACAGGGAGAAGGGAATATCAGCCATCCATCTTGTTACGGCAGAAGTCTCTGGTTGAAGGTCTGTATGCTTCATACATTTACCTTATAACATAAATACAGTACATTCAATATAACCAATTAAGAATGACATGGATTAGATATAAGCACCACTTTGTAAGGCAATAGACAGGGAGAAGGGAATATCAGCCATCCATCTTGTTACAGCAGAAGTCTCTGGCTGAAGGTCTGTATGTTTCATACATTTACCTTATAACATAAATACACTACATTCAATATAACCAATTAAGAATGACATGGATTAGATATAAGCGCCACTTTGTAAGGCAATAGACAGGGAGAAGGGAATATCAGCCATCCATCTTGTTACGGCAGAAGTCTCTGGCTGAAGGTCTGTATGTTTCATACATTTACCTTATAACATAAATACACTACATTCAATATAACCAATTAAGAATGACATGGATTAGATATAAGCGCCACTTTGTAAGGCAATAGACAATGAAAAGGGAATATCAGCCATCCATCTTGTTACGGCAGAAGTCTCTGGCTGAAGTTCTGTAGGCTTCATACATTTACCTTATAACATAAATACAGTACATTCAATATAACCAATTAAGAATGAAATGGAATAGATATAAGCACCACTTTGTAAGGCAATAGACAGGGAGAAGGGAATATCAGCCATCCATCTTGTTACGGCAGAAGTCTCTGGCTGAAGTTCTGTATGTTTCATACATTTACCTTATAACATAAATACAGTACATTCAATATAACCAATTAAGAATGACATGGAATAGATATAAGCACCACTTTGTAAGGCAATTGACAGGGAGAAGGGAATATCAGCCATCCATCTTGTTACGGCAGAAGTCTCTGGCTGAAGGTCTGTATGTTTCATACATTTACCTTATAACATAAATACAGTACATTCAATATAACCAATTAAGAATGACATGGAATAGATATAAGCACCACTTTGTAAGGCAATTGACAGGGAGAAGGGAATATCAGCCATCCATCTTGTTACGGCAGAAGTCTCTGGCTGAAGGTCTGTATGTTTCATACATTTACCTTATAACATAAATACACTACATTCAATATAACCAATTAAGAATAACATGGAATAGATATAAATGCCACTTTGTAAGGCAATAGATAGAGAGAAAGGGATATCATTCATCCATCTTGTCATGGCAGAAGTCTCTGGCTGAAGGTCTGTATGCTTCACACATTTACCTTATAACATAAATACATTACATTCAATATAACCAATTAAGAATAACATGGAATAGATATAAATGCCACTTTGTAAGGCAATAGATAGAGAGAAAGGGATATCATTCATCCATCTTGTCATGGCAGAAGTCTCTGGTTGAAGGTCTGTATGTTTCATACATTTACCTTATAACATAAATACATTACATTCAATATAACCAATTAAGAATGACATGGATTAGATATAAGCACCACTTTGTAAGGCAATTGACAGGGAGAAGGGAATATCAGCCATCCATCTTGTTACAGCAGAAGTCTCTGGTTGAAGGTCTGTATGTTTCACACATTTACCTTATAACATAAATACAGTACATTCAATATAACCAATTAAGAATGACATGGAATAGATATAAGCGCCACTTTGTAAGGCAATAGACAGGGAGAAGGGAATATCAGCCATCCATCTTGTTACGGCAGAAGTCTCTGGTTGAAGGTCTGTATGTTTCACACATTTACCTTATAACATAAATACATTACATTAATTATAACCAATTAAGAATAACATGGAATAGATATAAATGCCACTTTGTAAGGCAATAGATAGAGAGAAAGGGATATCAGCCATCCATCTTGTTACGGCAGAAGTCTCTGGCTGAAGGTCTGTATGCTTCACACATTTACCTTATAACATAAATACATTACATTCATTATAACCAATTAAGAATGACATGGATTAGATATAAGCACCACTTTGTAAGGCAATTGAGAGGGAGAACGGAATATCAGCCATCCATCTTGTTACGGCAGAAGTCTCTGGCTGAATGTCTGTATGTTTCATACATTTACCTTATAACATAAATACACTACATTCAATATAACCAATTAAGAATGACATGGATTAGATATAAGCACCAATTTGTAAGGCAATTGACAGAGAGAAGGGAATATCAGCCATCCATCTTGTTACAGCAGAAGTCTCTGGCTGAAGGTCTGTATGTTTCATACATTTACCTTATAACATAAATACACTACATTCATTATAACCAATTAAGAATGACATGGAATAGATATAAGCACCAATTTGTAAGGCAATAGACAGGGAGAAGGGAATATCAGCCATCCATCTTGTTACAGCAGAAGTCTCTGGCTGAAGGTCTGTATGTTTCATACATTTACCTTATAACATAAATACACTACATTCAATATAACCAATTAAGAATGACATGGATTAGATATAAGCGCCACTTTGTAAGGCAATAGACAATGAAAAGGGAATATCAGCCATCCATCTTGTTACGGCAGAAGTCTCTGGCTGAAGGTCTGTATGTTTCATACATTTACCTTATAACATAAATACAGTACATTCAATATAACCAATTAAGAATGACATGGAATAGATATAAGCACCACTTTGTAAGGCAATTGACAGGGAGAAGGGAATATCAGCCATCCATCTTGTTACGGCAGAAGTCTCTGGCTGAAGGTCTGTATGTTTCATACATTTACCTTATAACATAAATACAGTACATTCAATATAACCAATTAAGAATGACATGGAATAGATATAAGCACCACTTTGTAAGGCAATAGACAGGGAGAAGGGGATATCAGCCATCCATCTTGTTACGGCAGAAGTCTCTGACTGAAGGTCTGTATCAGCAGCTTCATATATTTACCTTATAACATAAATACAGTACATTCAATATAACCAATTAAGAATGACATGGATTAGATATAAGCGCGACTTTGTAAGGCAATAGACAGGGAGAAGGGAATATCAGCCATCCATCTTGTTACGGCAGAAGTCTCTGGCTGAAGGTCTGTAGGCTTCATACATTTACCTTATAACATAAATACAGTACATTCAATATAACCAATTAAGAATAACATGGATTAGATATAAGCACCACTTTGTAAGGCAATAGACAGGGAGAAGGGGATATCAGCCATCCATCTTGTTACGGCAGAAGTCTCTGGCTGAAGGTCTGTATGCTTCACACATTTACCTTATAACATAAATACACTACATTCAATATAACCAATTAAGAATGACATGGATTAGATATAAGCACCACTTTGTAAGGCAATAGACAGGGAGAAGGGGATATCAGCCATCCATCTTGTTACGGCAGAAGTCTCTGGCTGAAGGTCTGTATGTTTCATACATTTACCTTATAACATAAATACAGTACATTAATTATAACCAATTAAGAATGACATGGATTAGATATAAGCACCACTTTGTAAGGCAATAGAGAGGGAGAAGGGAATATCAGCCATCCATCTTGTTACGGCAGAAGTCTCTGGTTGAAGGTCTGTATGCTTCATGCATTTACCTTATAACATAAATACAGTACATTCAATATAACCAATTAGGAATGACATGGATTAGATATAAGCACCACTTTGTAAGGCAATAGACAATGAAAAGGGAATATCAGCCATCCATCTTGTTACGGCAGAAGTCTCTGGTTGAAGGTCTGTATGCTTGACACATTTACCTTATAACATAAATACAGTACATTCAATATATAACCAATTAAGAATGACATGGAATAGATATAAGCGCCACTTTGTAAGGCAATAGACAATGAAAAGGGAATATCAGCCATCCATCTTGTTACGGCAGAAGTCTCTGGTTGAAGGTCTGTATGCTTGACACATTTACCTTATAACATAAATACATTACATTCAATATATAACCAATTAAGAATGACATGGATTAGATATAAGCACCACTTTGTAAGGCAATAGACAGGGAGAATGGAATATCAGCCATCCATCTTGTTACAGCAGAAGTCTCTGGTTGAAGGTCTGTATGTTTCATACATTTACCTTATAACATAAATACAGTACATTCAATATAACCAATTAAGAATGACATGGATTAGATATAAGCGCCACTTTGTAAGGCAATAGACAGAGAGAAGGGAATATCAGCCATCCATCTTGTCATGGCAGAAGTCTCTGGCTGAAGGTCTGTATGTTTCATACATTTACCTTATAACATAAATACACTACATTCAATATAACCAATTAAGAATGACATGGATTAGATATAAGCGCCACTTTGTAAGGCAATAGACAGAGAGAAGGGAATATCAGCCATCCATCTTGTTACGGCAGAAGTTTCTGGTTGAAGGTCTGTATGCATCACACATTTACCTTATAACATAAATACAATACATTCAATATAACCAATTAGGAATGACATGGATTAGATATAAGCACCACTTTGTAAGGCAATAGACAATGAAAAGGGAATATCAGCCATCCATCTTGTTACGGCAGAAGTCTCTGGTTGAAGGTCTGTATGTTTCATACATTTACCTTATAACATAAATACAGTACATTCAATATAACCAATTAAGAATGACATGGATTAGATATAAGCGCCACTTTGTAAGGCAATAGACAGAGAGAAGGGAATATCAGCCATCCATCTTGTTACGGCAGAAGTTTCTGGTTGAAGGTCTGTATGCATCACACATTTACCTTATAACATAAATACAATACATTCAATATAACCAATTAGGAATGACATGGATTAGATATAAGCACCACTTTGTAAGGCAATAGACAATGAAAAGGGAATATCAGCCATCCATCTTGTTACGGCAGAAGTCTCTGGCTGAAGTTCTGTATGTTTCATACATTTACCTTATAACATAAATACACTACATTCAATATAACCAATTAAGAATAACATGGAATAGATATAAGCACCAATTTGTAAGGCAATAGACAGGGAGAAGGGAATATCAGCCATCCATCTTGTTAAGGCAGAAGTCTCTGGTTGAAGGTCTGTATGTTTCATACATTTACCTTATAACATAAATACAGTACATTCAATATATAACCAATTAAGAATGACATGGAATAGATATAAGCGCCACTTTGTAAGGCAATAGACAGAGAGAAGGGAATATCAGCCATCCATCTTGTTACGGCAGAAGTCTCTGGCTGAAGGTCTGTAGGCTTCATACATTTACCTTATAACATAAATACATAACATTCAATATAACCAATTAAGAATGACATGGATTAGATATAATCCCCATTTTGTAAGGCAATAGACAATGAAAAGGGAATATCAGCCATCCATCTTGTTACAGCAGAAGTCTCTGGCTGAAGTTCTGTATGTTTCATACATTTACCTTATAACATAAATACAATACATTCAATATAACCAATTAGGAATGACATGGATTAGATATAAGCACCACTTTGTAAGGCAATAGACAATGAAAAGGGAATATCAGCCATCCATCTTGTTACGGCAGAAGTCTCTGGCTGAAGTTCTGTATGTTTCATACATTTACCTTATAACATAAATACAATACATTCAATATAACCAATTAAGAATGACATGGATTAGATATAAGCACCACTTTGTAAGGCAATAGACAGAGAGAAGGGAATATCAGCCATCCATCTTGTTACGGCAGAAGTCTCTGGCTGAAGTTCTGTATGTTTCATACATTTACCTTATAACATAAATACAATACATTCAATATAACCAATTAAGAATGACATGGATTAGATATAAGCACCACTTTGTAAGGCAATAGACAGGGAGAAGGGAATATCAGCCATCCATCTTGTTACGGCAGAAGTCTCTGGCTGAAGGTCTGTATGTTTCATACATTTACCTTATAACATAAATACAATACATTCAATATAACCAATTAAGAATGACATGGAATAGATATAAGCACCACTTTGTAAGGCAATAGACAGGGAGAAGGGAATATCAGCCATCCATCTTGTTACAGCAGAAGTCTCTGGCTGAAGTTCTGTATGTTTCATACATTTACCTTATAACATAAATACACTACATTCAATATAACCAATTAGGAATGACATGGATTAGATATAAGCACCACTTTGTAAGGCAATAGACAGGGAGAAGGGAATATCAGCCATCCATCTTGTTACGGCAGAAGTCTCTGGCTGAAGTTCTGTATGTTTCATACATTTACCTTATAACATAAATACACTACATTCAATATAACCAATTAAGAATAACATGGAATAGATATAAGCACCAATTTGTAAGGCAATAGACAGGGAGAAGGGAATATCAGCCATCCATCTTGTTACAGCAGAAGTCTCTGGCTGAAGTTCTGTATGTTTCATACATTTACCTTATAACATAAATACAATACATTCAATATAACCAATTAGGAATGACATGGATTAGATATAAGCACCACTTTGTAAGGCAATAGACAATGAAAAGGGAATATCAGCCATCCATCTTGTTACGGCAGAAGTCTCTGGCTGAAGTTCTGTATGTTTCATACATTTACCTTATAACATAAATACACTACATTCAATATAACCAATTAAGAATGACATGGAATAGATATAAGCACCACTTTGTAAGGCAATAGACAGGGAGAAAGGAATATCAGCCATCCATCTTGTTAAGGCAGAAGTCTCTGGTTGAAGGTCTGTATGTTTCATACATTTACCTTATAACATAAATACAATACATTCAATATAACCAATTAAGAATGACATGGAATAGATATAAGCGCCACTTTGTAAGGCAATAGACAGGGAGAAGGGAATATCAGCCATCCATCTTGTTACGGCAGAAGTCTCTGGCTGAAGTTCTGTATGTTTCATACATTTACCTTATAACATAAATACACTACATTCAATATAACCAATTAAGAATGACATGGATTAGATATAAGCGCCACTTTGTAAGGCAATAGACAGGGAGAAGGGAATATCAGCCATCCATCTTGTTACGGCAGAAGTCTCTGGCTGAAGGTCTGTATGTTTCATACATTTACCTTATAACATAAATACAATACATTCAATATAACCAATTAAGAATGACATGGAATAGATATAAGCACCACTTTGTAAGGCAATAGACAGGGAGAAAGGAATATCAGCCATCCATCTTGTTACGGCAGAAGTCTCTGGCTGAAGGTCTGTATGTTTCATACATTTACCTTATAACATAAATACAATACATTCAATATAACCAATTAAGAATGACATGGAATAGATATAAGCACCACTTTGTAAGGCAATAGACAGGGAGAAGGGAATATCAGCCATCCATCTTGTTACAGCAGAAGTCTCTGGCTGAAGTTCTGTATGTTTCATACATTTACCTTATAACATAAATACAATACATTCAATATAACCAATTAAGAATGACATGGATTAGATATAAGCACCACTTTGTAAGGCAATAGACAGGGAGAAAGGAATATCAGCCATCCATCTTGTTACAGTAGAAGTCTCTGGCTGAAGTTCTGTATGTTTCATACATTTACCTTATAACATAAATACAGTACATTCAATATGACCAATTAAGAATGACATGGAATAGATATAAGCGCCACTTTGTAAGGCAATAGACAGGGAGAAGGGAATATCAGCCATCCATCTTGTTACGGCAGAAGTCTCTGGCTGAAGGTCTGTATGTTTCATACATTTACCTTATAACATAAATACAATACATTCAATATAACCAATTAAGAATGACATGGAATAGATATAAGCACCACTTTGTAAGGCAATAGACAGGGAGAAAGGAATATCAGCCATCCATCTTGTTACAGCAGAAGTCTCTGGTTGAAGGTCTGTATGTTTCATACATTTACCTTATAACATAAATACAATACATTCAATATAACCAATTAAGAATGACATGGAATAGATATAAGCACCACTTTGTAAGGCAATAGACAATGAAAAGGGAATATCAGCCATCCATCTTGTTACAGCAGAAGTCTCTGGCTGAAGTTCTGTATGTTTCATACATTTACCTTATAACATAAATACAATACATTCAATATAACCAATTAGGAATGACATGGATTAGATATAAGCACCACTTTGTAAGGCAATAGACAATGAAAAGGGAATATCAGCCATCCATCTTGTTACGGCAGAAGTCTCTGGCTGAAGTTCTGTATGTTTCATACATTTACCTTATAACATAAATACAGTACATTCAATATAACCAATTAAGAATGACATGGAATAGATATAAGCACCACTTTGTAAGGCAATAGACAGAGAGAAGGGAATATCAGCCATCCATCTTGTTAAGGCAGAAGTCTCTGGTTGAAGGTCTGTATGTTTCATACATTTACCTTATAACATAAATACACTACATTCAATATAACCAATTAAGAATGACATGGATTAGATATAAGCGCCACTTTGTAAGGCAATAGACAGGGAGAAGGGAATATCAGCCATCCATCTTGTTACGGCAGAAGTCTCTGGTTGAAGGTCTGTATGCATCACACATTTACCTTATAACATAAATACAGTACATTCAATATATAACCAATTAGGAAAATTACATCCAATGCTCAGCTCTTCTAAGGAACAACTGGATTAGATATAAGCACTTAAGGCACAAAAGATAATCATGGATAAAAGGTCAAGGTCAAAATAAGCAGCTTGATATCCATCTACGAGGCCGTAGGTTTCTTTCATGTTATCAATTTATTTCTAATATAAACAACAATTTGTTTTACAACAATTCATAGGTTGTTCATAAAATAAATTGGCAAATCACAAAATCTGCTATATTTTCAGTTCTTTTTTTGTTATATGTTCATATTTCATATTTCTACCATTTCTATATTTACTAAATAGGCACTTACATGGAAAATCTGAATCCAAGTCAACCTCATTCTTGTTAGCTTTACCCTCCAGACTTTCACATTGGCCTTTTATGCCTTTTGCCAAACCATCAGGGTTAAGAGTGGGCAATATGTGGATCCTGGTACGATCAATTAGCTAAAATAGAAATAACAGAAATTCCTTGGTGAAATATCCAAAATATGTTAAAATTACTCAGTAAAACAATGAATGTTTTAACCTGAATTTACAAAAATAATATATTATTTTAACCATGAAATGCTTGAAAATGTACTAATTATAAATAAAAAGCTCATAGAAAGGTGCAACATCTTCAATAATTTTCTATGAGCTTAATATTTGTGATTATTATGCACCTCATTAAAATACTCAAATCTGATTGGTTAAGAGCTGCATGGTCTATTGCCATACGTGGCACCAAGATCTCGTTCTTCGCCTCGCCTAGTTTTTTTTTTGAGGATAGGTATTCTGGCATACCCACCTCATGGTCATCCAGTATTTGTTTAGTACTCTGCACACACATGTAGTCTAAAACTTAATATTTATTTACATACATTTAAGACATCTACAAAAACTGCACAGAATTTTTGTATTATTTTCACAAGTTTACCTCAGTGATTAAGGAATCTTTTCTATAGTTATCCACAAGATGGCGTGCCAGTTGCAACATTAACTCAGGACCTGCCATCTCGTTACCATGGATACCAGCAACAAACTTAACCTCAGGGACATCGACACGGTGGTTGCCAGGTGATTTAGCAATCTCTAGTACCCAGAGTTTGTTCTTTTCCACTGATTCCCCGATACTGAAATGCAACAAGAATTCAATAAGTAAAGAAATACACCATGAATCAAGAAGACAATTTTTCAAAATTAATTTATATGTTAAAATAGAATAGAATAAAGAATAGAATATAGCATAGAATACTCAAAAAATTAAAAGTATATTCATCAGAAACAAACAATCATTCATATCAATGCCAAAAAGGGCTTTAACTTCAAATTGTCCATTCAGAAAAAAAACTGAATTGTCAGCACTCAATTAATCAATGCATAGCTATATTTGTAACAAATTCAAACATAGTTTTTCTTATTCAAATTCATTATTCGCTGTTAATAATTGGTGTGGTTCAGGACCCTTAGTTCTGCCACTTGCCCTAATCAAAAGTGTTCGCATAAGCAGGTGTTCACATTTCAAGCTCTTTAAACACATCAGTGTCCATGGAAAAAGTATTGAGAGATGTTTGGATAAACAGGTTTCACTGTATTTAGATTCTTCTGGTATATTTGAGCAATCACCTGTAAAGTCTTGTTATATCCTTGTGGTTTGTTGAGATGTTCTTGAGCTGGTACTCCATAGCAATGTTACTATGGTACTCCATCTTGCTAACTGCTTTTTCTAAGACAAAGTCAACATCTACAGCCTCATATGGAATGACTGTGAATGCTTTCGTCATTTCCTCATAACCTGTAAAAAACACAAATGTTTTTAAAATCTGTAATTTCCATTGTTTTTATTTTGACAGGTGACGGGATTCGTAACTAACGACTGATTGATTTCAATGAGTTTTCCCTCTTGGTAATGGACTTTGAAAAACTGGTTGCCTATTTCTATATAGCTGTAGGTCGAATGTCTTTATTTGTACATTTTAAGCTGTGTATTGATAATATATGAATATTAGTTAACTGCATGATTTTCAGTTAATTAAAGCTGGACATCGCTCCAAAACGCAATATGTTGACATATATTGTTTTTAAATTTTTTTAGCTCTAATATAAAGTTTATGTAAATAAAAATTGTTTTTTTCTGCGTTATATCAAAGAACAATCATTTAGTTAAAAAAAATAAAAAGGCGAATGCGGGATTCGATCGCGGGCCTCCCGCGTGCTAAGCGAGAATTGTACCCCTAGACCACCGTCTTCTAATGAATGTTGGAAGTAATTAAACGCTACTTATTTTGAATGCTATGATTCGGAAGTGACGTCACGTTCTTCATTTAGAAACTTTTCCAAAATCATATCGTCGGCGCCGATCGAAGCAATTCAATGAATTATCTTTGAAATGACACATTTATCGTAAGTATATCTACACAAGATTTGCCCCATTTGTTCATCATTCTATAATCTTTCATTAGGCTCAAAATGATAAAGTTCACCCCCGAAACCAACCCAAGATTGCGTTTCGGAGCGCAGTCCAGCTTTAACAAAGACATTTTAGCATTAGGCCATTCAGAATTTGATAAATGTTTAATGTCACCTTACTTCTATAATTAAGGCAAATTAATTAAGGGTTTTGTCTTTTAAGTTTTCTCCACTGGCTTCTAAGATGTCTCCCTTTATCAAGATGTTAAACATGGAAATTTACCTTCAGCGCAAGCTTGTATTTGATATTGTCCTTCTGGTAAGACATGGAAATATTCCCCCAGGGATGACACACTCACATTCTGGCCATGCCCAAGGATACGTAAGGTCGAATCACTCAGTATCCTTCCATCTTTTCCTTTTATAGTCCCTCGTATGCCTAAATCGTAAACATAACTTTATATATGTATACACCCCCAAAATGCAATCTGATTTTCGACGCCGTTTCGGTGCCAAATTCCGGTGCCGTTTCGGCATAAAATAAAGAGATCATACTCCATTAACATACGTCATCAAAGATCTTTCTTATGCAACCTGACTTGGTTTCACTCTGAAGTACATATTTTTTCTTAGTTTTTTTCTTTATTCCTGTTAAATACATTGAAATATACAATACATAGACTGCCAAAGTTAAAAACATTGGTGGCAGTTTTTTGAAAAAATATGTTTGTAATTCTTACGCATTTATAAAACAAACAAGTGATGGAAAGCATCAAGGATGATTGGCTCCCAGGGATGCCACTCAATATTTTCCAGCAATGAATTTGCAAAAATGTTGTTATTCTGAAATTATGACCGACTGTAAATAATCAAAAGTTCAAAAGATTCGAACCAATATCTTGATCATTTCTTGTATGTTATTTTTTGTTTGGAAATAAGACCAAAATTCGAGATCTAAATTCTGATCTGAAGTGAATAAAATGGCGGCTGTTTGAATTTTGTAATTAAGACAACTGCATATATGGCAGTATATCGAGTTGGAACCCTGGGAGCCAATCCTCCTCGGAAGGCATGAATTATTGTTACCCTTTTTGAAATCCATAACTTGAGAAAAGCTTGATATCCTGAGAAATTTCTTTTACCTTGTCTAGATTTCTCGAGAAAATTCTTCAGTGGTTCCAGGTTCTCTTTATAGACATTAGGCAGATCTTTAGCAACTGGATATTTACAACAGCTTATTGCAGGTGAAACCTTAATAACACAATTACATACATTAAAATTAACAATAAAAAGTTAAGCTTGTGTAAATTGAACAGCTTCGATATCTCTAAAATGTATGCCACGGGGGAGGTAGGTGTTCCATTTACAGAGGTTCATTTTACCTTGGTTGTTTAATGGTATTCTGAAAAGTGTTTCAATTATGAAGATGCATGACAGAGGCTTTTCCACTTCAAAGGTTTACCTTAAATAGGTATCCTTCCTCTATATACTGTACTCTCGGTATATCATTCAGGTGCGATTTAGTTTCGCTCTTTTCGCAATTGTGGTAAAATCGCGAAAAATGAAACTCGCAAAATTAATTAATTTTTCATGGTTATTTTCATATAGGAATGGTTAAGCATAATGCGACATTTCTGGCTTTACATACCATTAAAGTTCCATGTTTGAGAAAAGCATAATCCATTAGACTGCCTTCTCTGTCCATGACTTCACTTCCATGTACAACACCAGAGACACCTTTCTCAGCACACAAATTAGCGTTGGCATACGTGTCAGCTAACATGCGTAATGTGGTTTCACTGTCAGTGACACTCGTCTTTTCACCTGCAGAGTTGATTTGTTTAGAATCAAGTGGATACCTAAAATATGAAAAATTCAGTATTAGTTTCTTCCTAGAATCATGCAACTATGGATAACATGGCCCATAGTCGAAATGACTTATTCTATAAAATCAATGTTCCACTATCGATATTGCCCATTTACATAGCATATGAATGTAAAGGTTTTTGCATACTATATGAAAGTAAAAGGTTCAGGACACTGTTTACCAATTAAAGGAATTTCCTTGCAAGACCATTTCTCTCTCAATGTTTTGATATGGTCAATATCGATCATTTAAAAATTTGTAGTGCTCATTTCCAGTAGTCTGCCATCTTTTAAGATTTCAAGAAGGAAGTGATGTCATCGACATGTCAGGAGAGAAATGGTCTGGCAAGGTATATTCCTTTAAACATATTTAGGAGAAAATACTAGCATATAATAAAGCTTTAAGTGAATATACCTAAGATTTATGGCTCCACCCTGTAGGTTAATTGCTGTGTGAATGTGTTGCTTCTCAAGGAAATTCTTAAGAAAGTTGACTTCTTCTATTTTCTGAAAGAATACAAATTTTGATATTAGTTTTACCTTGTCGTGATTTAAGAATTGTTACAATACACCAAACATGATATAATGGGACTCATTGCTGTTATGGTTTCTGGTGATATACTTTTGCACACTTATGGTTCTTTATTCACCAGTGGATAAATATGAAAGCTCTCATAATCATAGGATATCCTGAACTTACACTGTCTAAAAAATTGTTTTTGTAGCAATAAGACAGTGGACATTTCACAATAAGATTTTAGATTGATTTTATATGCAATATAAGCAATCTAATGCATTGCATAACCAGTAGTTACATATTACATAGGATTCTATGACAGATTTACAAAATGGGTCCAGAAAAAGTGTTCACATTAAGAGGTATTCAGAGGTGTTACAAGTTTCTCTGTACTAAAATAGTGCTACACCCTTAAATACTGATATCTGTACTATAGTTTGCACATACAGAATCTTGTGTTCCAAATTCAAACTCCAAATGTCGTCCCTTGTAGCTTTCCCCAGTACAGTCACCCAGCATTGCCTTGGTAACATCTGGGTTGATGTTGATGATCATATGAACAACAACATTATCAAGGATGTTAACAGTCCCTAGGTCCTTTTTGGCGTAACCTGAAATCAAAATAATGTAATATCAGGGGTTTCATTAGCAGCAGGCAACAGGCGATTTTCAACAGTTGTTTTCACAAAATCGACTGTTGTTTTTAGGGTCTTTTCAGCTTTTCCATGTTAAATTTCTGATTTCCATTAATTCTCCCTGTTGTTTTCATTTATTTAGCCTGTTGTGAGTGAGAAATTCTAGTGAAACCCCTAAATATACAGTAAAACTTGTCTTATGAGAACAATCCTGGGATCATAATAAAGTGTTCAATTGGCAGGTGTTCAAATTTGTAGGTTTTTCAACAGAAGAACACAAGTTTTACTGTACTGCAATTCTGATCTAAACCTGTAGGCTTTTATGAAATCAGAACACAATTGGGATCAGACTTGTGTTCAATTAGCAGTTGTTCGATTTAGAGGTTTCCTAACATGAAGGTCTTTGGTAGATTAAGAGAATGAGACAGAAAAAAGTGTTCACATTGAGAGGTATTCAGAGACAGGTGTTCAAATATATAAAGGTTTACTGTACTGCAAATCTGATCTAAGCCTATAGGCTTTTATGTAAAATGAAACATGACGTTTGAAATAAGAACTCATGTGTGATGGCCATTATGTTCTTATGTTCTATATATCCCTACCTTCAAATAAATGTCTTGCGAATCTGACCAAAACCTCGGTTCCTATAGGGTCATCTCCATTGAGCCCAGCCAGCAGGGCCACATGTGGAACATTGCCTGAAGTAATTCCAGACACCTGCAGGTGGCCTATACTGTGGCCCTCAAATGTACGTCCCAGGCTGGAGTACTTTCCAATGTCAGGATGAGATTTGGCTAAAGAGTTAAGCTGATAATCAATATCAGTTGTGTAAGCATCGGTGGCTATGTTGGCACTGATCTGAAAGTCATGCTGCTGGGACCAGCTCTCTATGCCGGATTGTGAAAGGGTGAAGTTCACCTGAATGGCCTCATTGGTTCCGACCACAACTGAATGGCTCACAGGAGTGTAACTGGAGTAGAAATACATAGGGGGTGAATAGGTATGAAGTAAAAATACATAGGGGGTGAATAGGTATGAAGTAGAAATACATAGGGGGTAAATAGGTATGAAGTAGAAATACATAGGGGGTGAATAGGTATGAAGTAGAAATACATAGGGGGTAAATAGGTATGAAGTAGAAATACATAGGGGGTGAATAGGTATGAAGTAGAAATACATAGGGGGTGAATAGGTATGAAGTAGAAATACATAGGGGGTGAATAGGTATGAAGTAGAAATACATAGGGGGTGAATAGGTATGAAGTAGAAATACATAGGGGGTGAATAGGTATGAAGTAGAAATACATAGGGGGTGAATAGGTATGAAGTAGAAATACATAGGGGGTGAATAGGTATGAAGTAGAAATACATAGGGGGTGAATAGGTATGAAGTAGAAATACATAGGAGGTGAATAGGTATGAAGTAGAAATACATGGAGGGGTGAATAGGTATGAGGTAGAAATACATAGGGGTGAATTGTTTTCATATGTTTAATTTTAATCTTGTTATCTAAATATAGAAAAACAAAATAATACTGAAAATTATAATCAAAACAAAATTCCTCATAATACAAGTCAATTCTGTTTGCTGGTTCTGGAACCCCTGTCCGTGATTAAAGTGAAATCATTTGTTTTGTAAGACAAAAAGTAAAACAAATGTTATTCCTTCAAATATAATATGTAAGCTAAATAAATATTCATAGCTACCCTTTTTTAGTTGCAGTCACTGTGTAAGTCCCTGGTGCCAGCAGTCTCCAGTAGTCACCATCTAGGGCAGTATGTAGAGAATGATCGATCCCTGCTACAGATATTGTGGCATTCACCAGTGGCAGTCCAGTGAGTCCATCTGTGACAAACCCTCTTACACCCTTATGTAACTGAAGTGAATATATAGTCAGATCAATAGTAGCATTGGTTCTTGTGTGATAATCGCCTCGTCACAAAATATATTAGCCTAACCTTATGAGAGCAGGCCCGTAGCCAGGGGGCCCGACCCTCACTCCCCAGCCAAAATTTATTTCTTCATCATGCAGTTTTTAACTATTCTGAGCGATTTTGGGCCAAAATGTGAACCCCTGGAATTTTTTATAAGTAAACCCCCTTGGCAAAAGCTGGCTTCAGGCCTGGAGAGTATAACATGGACATTGTTTTGATGCCAATGGTCCTAGTATATGTGAACACTCAGTACATGAGATGTGGAATTCACACCGTAGCAGATGTAGTAGGTACCTGTATCAAAGATTGGATGGGAGCTATTAGGCTCTGTTTGATCTTTAATACAGGCCCCTGTGGGACCATGGTTCACGACTTGAAAACATAATTGTGGCAATTTAACATATTGGCGTTAAGCACATTGGCTATTAGGCAACTAGAATTTTATTTTAAGATAATTGTCAAAATTGAAAAGTGATCGTCATTGGTAGTCAGAATTGACCTCTTCTAGCTTACCTAGAACATCTTTATTACACATTAATATTGTCATAAGTGAATATCTGGAGTAGTATAAAAAGTAATTGGACTAGTGTGACATTTAAATTGAGGTTTCAAGAAAGTTTGAAGAGCAGATAGTACTTCACTCCATGCTTGGCTGACAGAGAGATGCAGAAAAAGTGCAATGTTTACCATGCAAACATTAACTATACAATGTATACTCATGAACTTAATGTATTATTTTTCACTCTGGTCCAATAGACGATCTTACCTGAACCATGTATACCACAAGTTGGTATATAAAGCACTTAAGATGAGAAAATAGTAGTATGAGAAGAGGTCCTTTTCCCATAATGCATTAATTTAGCAGACGATCTTACCTGAACCATGTATACCAGGAGAGGGTACTTGTTGGCCAACCAATAGCTCTCAAGGTCAGCAGCAAATGGATACTTGGTACACCCAAGCTCTATTGTGATTTCAAAACAGTTGGTGTTTATGTAATTCCAATCTTGCATGCCTCCTAATATGGTAAAACAGGAATCATTCAGTGCGGTGGTTGTATGACAATAGAGTACATAACGGAGCATATTATACAACAGTACAACAAGGGTAGTGCAGGGTTCAAACACATGTTTCATAATCTTGCAAAATACAACATAGTACAGTATGTGTATAAGGGCTTAACATGCAGAGTATATGTATATTCGAAACAAGCTGACTGGCACTTAATATTTAAGATACATACAGAAGTTTGAAGCAGTTATGGAGATATAACTTAAATCACTTAAAGGCATGGATGAACTTGATGTCAACTGTGAAATGCTCCGAATTTGATATGTCGATTGAGTACCGCGAAACCTGCCTAATCTGAATGCAAGTGGAGTCTGAGCCAAAAGTGTTCAGATTGGCAGGTGTTCACATGTTCAGCCTGGATGTCTGTAGTCAATTATAAACAAGGCATTAACATGCAAAATATCACCACCTGCTATTTGTTATAGATGCCAAATGCCAAACACCAACCACTAAATGCCAAAGACCAACTGATGGACACTAAAGGCTGAACGCCAAGTGCCGCCCTCCAAAAAGTTTGAGACAGTAACAATATGTCACTACTTCTGATGGTGACATAAAAATGATGCAGAAAAAAGCATTCACATCGAGATATGTTCAGATTAGAGATGCATTCTGATAGGATATTCCAGTTGAACAGTAATCGGAATTGCAAGCAAATTGGGTCATGGTTTAGGTTATCATGGAGGTCTGGCTTGGGATCCAAAGGGCTTTGGGGCCATTCCAAGTAATAGTATGGTTTTAATTACCATGATGAAGGATTATCGATTTTATTGTTACCTGCCACACTGTACCATTGGGCCCCGTTGGTGATGCCATCTTGGAAATATTCCCCAGAGCTTGTCCCACATGGGTGGCCACTATGCATGGTTGAATGGGCCTGAAACGTAACAAAATTCAGAATTTTTTTTACACATAATAGGATTTAATTTGTACTGATGCCCTTTCAAGGCCAGGCGTACATCCAACAATTACAATCTTCAATTACAGTAAATTAAGTAAAGGATTTTTACTTTTTCCATATACAGATAAATATTTAATGTCTATTGAAAGTACAATCAATTCCCTTATATCAACTAGATAATGGCAACTCCGCGGAGTAGCAAATCCCAACGAACAAAATATCAATTACCAAATTCAAATCAATTATACTCATTACTTTAGTTAAAATTGAAAAAATTAGATTTTAGAATTGCGAATTCCTGCAAAGCAGCCATTTTGAATTTTCTGAGGTACAAATCTGAAAAATAATACCATAATTGTGATCTACTCCAAAATTCCTTCAATTTGAGTATAATATAGCCATACTTTGAAGCGATCGAAAAATTATTGCGAAATCGTACATTAGACGGCCATTTTGAATTTTACGAGGCTCGAATCAGAAAAAAGATACAATATTTGCAATCTACTCTTAATTGCTTTTCATTTGAGTATAATAAAGCTATACTTCAGAAAGATCTAAAAATTAGCGAAAATTTCTGTTTTTCTGACCCCCCATACACAGCCCCTGGGGGTCAGGATGAAAAACACAGAATATATGTGAAATAGATAAATGTTGTGAATATACTGCCAAAATTTCAAACAATAATATTAATTACTTTGGTTTAGAATGAAAAATTTATGATTTTTGCGAAAAAGTCCCGTCATTTCTAAACCGGCGGCCATCTTGAAGAAATTTTTTTGCGTAAAACTATTTACCAATATACATCTTTCCACCAAATATGAAGAAAATCCGTGCACTAGTATTTGAGTTATCTTCCAGACGAACGGACTGACTGACAGACGGATGGAGGGCTTCACTATATCCCTACCAAACTTCGTTCGTTGGGATAATAAACTCACCAATGAATAGGACTCCGCTAACCATCTAAATGCCTTATCATCTGGGCATTTACTATATATGCTATGTCCAAGTCTGATGTCATCATCCCAGGGGTAATTGGCCACAAGGGAGCCCCCGTGGAGATTGGCGGACAGGACAAATGGATATTCTTTGATCCACTTCATCACAGCTTTTGTCTCTGGCTCCTGCTTTGCATTCTTGGTAGTTGTGTGGAACTGGTCGGGAAAGTTGCGGTTTAGATCAACATTGTGAGCGTTTGAACGTCCATTCACTCCCATGGCATCCCCTTGCAAAATATATGTAACTTTTGCAATTTTCATGGATAATACTATTATAACAGGTTAGCCTTAAGTATCCATGCAACAAGTGGTATTTTTGTTGACAAAAAATAAATAAAGTTGATAAATATAAATGAATTAAATAACCTTACAGCTAAATACTCATTTTGCTGAAATATTTTTTCAAAATATTTTTACACAACCACTGACTATGCGTCATAGTTTGGATTTCCATGGACTTTATGCACCATAGGACTTTATCCACCGTAGTGTGGATTTCCATTAACTATATCCACCATAGTGTGGATTTCCATTAACTATATCCACCATAATGTGGATATCCCTTAACTATATCCACCATAGTGTGGACTTCCCATAGTGTGGATTTCCATTAACTATGCACCATAGTGTGGATTTCCATTAACTATATCCACCATAGTGTGGATTTCCATTAACTATATCCACCATAGTGTGGATTTACATTAACTATATCCACCATAGTGTGGATTTACATTAACTATATCCACCATAGTGTGGATTTACATTAACTATATCCACCATAGTGTGGATTTCCATTAACTATATCCACCATTGTGTGGATTTCCAATAACTATATCCACCATAGTGTGGATTTCCATTAACTATATCCACCATAGTGTGGATTTCCATTAACTATATCCACCATAGTGTGGATTTCCATTAACTATATCCACCATAGTGTGGATTTCCATTAAATATATCCACCATAATGTGGATTTCTGTTAACTATATCCACCATAGTGTGGATTTCCATTAACTATATCCACCATTGTGTGGATTTCCATTAACTATATCCACCATAGTGTGGATTTCCATTAATAATATCCACCATTGTGTGGATTTCCATTTACTATATCCACCATAGTGTGAATTTCCATTAACTATATCCACCACAGTGTGGATTTCTATTAACTATATCCACCATAGTGTGGATTTCCATTAACTATATCCACCATAGTGTGGATTTCCATAAACTATATCCACCATAGTGTGGATTTCCATTAACTATATCCACCATTGTGTGGATTTCCATTAACTATATCCACCATAGTGTGGATTTCCATTAACTATATCCACCATAGTGTGGATTTCCATTAACTAATCCACCATTGTGTGGATTTTCATTAACTATATCCACCATAGTGTGGATTTCCATTAACTATATCAACCATAGTGTGGATTTCCATTAACTATATCCACCATAGTGTGGATTTCCATTAAATATATCCACCATAGTGTGGATTTCCATTAACTTTATCCACCATAGTGTGGATTTCCATTAACTATATCCACCATAGTGTGGATTATTAATAACTATATCCACCATAGTGTGGATTTCCATTAACTATATCCACCATAGTGTGGATTTCCTTTAACTATATCCACCATAGTGTGGATTTCCATTAACTATATCCACCATAGTGTGGATTTTCATTAACTATATTCACCATAGTGTGGATTTCCATTAACTATGCACCAAGTACACATTCCTCTACTCACCTTCATGTGATGCTTCATGGCCATCAGGATTCATGGTTGGCATGATGTGTATACGTGTCATGTTAACTGCTAGGGACACAAGCTCATTGTGGGCGTAGTTCTCACATAGGAATTGAATATACAACAACAGCATCTCTCTGCCTACAACCTCATTACCATGCATGTTGCCAATGTACTTGAACTCCGGCTCACCTAAAGAATAAAACAAGCATGTTGCCAATGTACTTGAACTCTGGCTCACCTAAAAACAAGGATGATCCATATAATTGAACCATGGTTCAGAAAAAGAATATAACAAGGATTTTCCTTTGTATTTTCTTTGAAAAGTAAATATCAAATGTTCTAACAAGAATTAAATCAAATGAGTAACTTAGGTTTATTTTGATTTGCACCACCAATGTTCATTGGACTAACAGTTGATTCCAAAAACATTTACTAACATATTTATTTTTCTTGATGTTGAAAACAAAAAAATGAAAATATTTGAAATTCCTACCAGGTTCATGCCTGCCAGGATTGTCTGATATCTCAAGGGTCCATAAATCACGATTTTTTACCGATCTTCCAACAGAATACAGCCGAGTGATTCCTGGGTATTTATTGGCGATGATTTGCATGAACTCAGTCATCTCTTGGTGGTTGTGGTGCTTGAACTGAGTGGGTTCTATAAATTTAGCATTGTCTCTATGTTCACTATCAGAAAGTTTATTAACATGTTCAACAAGAGAATGCAGTGTTGCTGGGTAGTCAAGGGTAACTGCTGATGATGCACGTGTTGTCATGGTTGCTGCTGTTGGTGTTGTTTTGGTTGGTTTATCTGTTGCAATTCTGTTGTTGTTATCGTCAGATGCCGCTGTTTGTTTGAGTGTTACGTTAAGAATGGTGGCTGGCCCATCAGTGACAACTACGCCATCTATTGTGTATTTCTGGTATCTACAATGTATATTTATATGTTTGAATCTTTCAATTATTCGTCAAATAAACAAAGTCTGCCCCTAGTTATCAAATAATTTGAGTGGGGGATTAAACATTGACAATTCTGGCCAAAAACATTGTTGTCTGCTGAGTATTAAATTGGGATTTATGATTTCAACAAAAACGCATATGTACATGTCGGTACATGTATAGATGGTAAAGGTTACAAGTATATTGATAACCAAGATGGCGCATACCCAGAATTCATAAAAGGACCTATACCCATATAAAAACGAATCTCTAAATCCCCCTTTTATAGACAATAAAGATCAAAAGTGTGAGCATTTCAATTACAGGCTACATAAAAAATGGATGTATTTACCCATGCTGCACTACGGTTATGTTATAGGTCCCAGGCAGTAGAAGTCGCCAGTAATAACCAGAGTCTGTTGATTCAACTAAATGTGCAATTGGATGCTTGTTGGAGTCAGTTACAAGGATTGAAGCTCCTTTAATAGGGTCCTTGGTGTCTTCATCTGTGATACGTCCTTTGATACCTCTGTGAACCTGTAGTGGAAAGAGTGATGTCAACGGATTGGGTTAGATCCGATATAAACAAGGTACCGACATGACAAAAATGTTGCCAGTTGGTAATTAATTGCAAAAGCGTATCAGTTGTTACAATCACCAAGCATTACAAAAACAGAGAACAAAATCTAACGTTACATCAAAATATGATATGAGTAAATCTGAAATAATTTGTTGGTAAATGAGTCAAGAATGGAAAGTGCAGAATTGCAAAATCATAACTCAGATCACAAGAACAAAATAATAAAAATAATTCCATAATTCTTAGGACATATAACTGATTAAAGTCTGATATCAAACATGCCGAAAAAGTGCTTTAAGCATAGACCTGTTACATGTATGCCCTTCCTAAGACCTTTCCCTTCCCAAGGCCACTTCCCTTCTCAAAGCCTTTCCCTTCCAAAGGCCCCTTCTCTTCTCAAGGCCCTTCCCAAGGCCCTTCCCTGCATTTTCCATGTATGCTATGAGAATTAATTGTTTAAATATTGGATGGACATAATAATCCAAAGGCCCTTCCCAAGGCCCTTCCCTCTATGGTGCTTCAAAAGTTTACCTGTTCCATATATGCAATGAGAGACTCCCTGTTGTTCTGCCACTCCTGAGGGAGTTGATTGTGTGGAGGGTATTTACAACAGGATAGTTCCACTGTGATCTCAAAGCAGCTACTGTGAAGATAGTTGAAATCCTGCATCCCACCTAAAAACACAAACACACTTTATCTTTACATACAGGATGTTCAAAAAATAACAGGATTGGATCTGGCATTTTGTTAGTACTAGATCCATGTTAGAATTTTTATTTTTTTTATTTTAATGCAATTTAATTGGACACAAAACACTGTGATAAATATCACTGTGAAGGGCAAAATGACCATCATGTCATCAGATCTTGGCACCAGTGGGCTCTTACATCTGTAAAAATTTCAAGTTGAGTAGGTAAGAGTTTTTCTTGAATTTCAATGATATACGAGGGGTGATCCAAAAGTCTTGGACGCCCTGCTCTATTTTTGTTGGTTTTTGTTAAAATTACTCTAAACTTTCCAATAATAAAGACCAACAACCTAACTACTTTGTGTATTAATTTTATGGAGCAATGATATATTTTGTATAGTTTTCTAGATAGTTTTTAATACAGAGACCCTGCCACCCGGAACGGTATTCGCACATGGCAACTTTCAGCCTTAAGTGTTACCGCCATTTCACTTGTTTCACAAGTCTTCACCACTATATTTCTTTGAATTTTGAATGTTAAACCATGTTAGTTTACTTCCTTTGTTAGTAGGCAACCAATTAATTGTGTTTTAATTATAATGTCACATATGACAATGGCCGCACATGTCAAATTCTAAGAAAATGCCATCAGACAAGCAACCCTCATTCTGGTATCATTTTTGCTGCAAGATGGCTGCTGAAATGCAGAACACGAAAGAAATCAAAGTGGAACAAAGAATACTACAAGATATTTTGACTATTATTGACCTTGAACAGCTACCATATGCACGATACAGTCTATCTATGGCTGCATGTAATTTTCTTCCTTTTCTCCAAGTTGAAAGGATGGTTGAAAGAAAATGTTTTTTACTCATTGAATGAGGTTTAGAGTAGCACTCCAGCAGCATTTGTATCACATAAGCAATGACGGTTTCATAAATGTCTTCCATTCATTGGTAAAGTGGTATGAAAAATGTGTTCAAATTCGTGGAAAATATGTTGAAAAGTATGTCTTAATATGTGAAGATGATGATGGCAGATGACACTCAGATTGAAAATCGAAAATTCTCTCATATCATGGCTGGTGTTAGGTTGTGCACATGCACCTAAAGTATTTGCCATATTATAACAGTTGTGACGTGATTTGCTATATTTATATACCGTTCCGGGTGGCAGGGACCCGGTATTAAAAGAAATGTAGAAAAGTAGCTAAAATATATTATTTTCTGTTGAAACTTATACATAAAGTTGTTAAGATGTTGATCTTTATTATCTGAAAGTTTCATGTAGTTATATTAAAAAATAGCAAAGTTAGAGCAGGGCGTCCAAGACTTTTGGATCACCCCTCGTAAAACCAGTTGTAAAAAAACTTGTTAATTTTGTTATGGTTCAACCCTCATATAACAAAATGTATGTATTATTTTGTATAAATATCTCATGTCGATATTTCATATATAGATATTTTGTGTAAAGTAAAACCTTTACTTAAAAGTATGAATAAAACCTTTACTTAACAGGTTTTACAGTACATAAAATATCAATATACATGCTCTGAAAAACATGAGAAGGATATTTGAAAAAATCACAAAATGAGAGCAGTTTTATCAAAATATAGAACTAAAAAAGGTTTTATAGTACATAAAATATCAATATATATGCTCTGAAAAACATGAGAATGATATTTTTAAAATAATCACAAAATAAGAGCATTTTTATCAGAATATATGGATCGCCCCTTGTATATAAGCACCTCTCAATTGTGAATACCTCTCAATGGGAATGTGTTTTATTGTTCACATTTTTAACCTGTCAATGGCTTGCATGTTAAAAAATCTTAAAATGTGAACACCTGCCAATCTGAACATTTTACTCGAGATAATAATTTCATAGATATATTTCATATAAATGCTAATCAAGTATTGCATAAGCTATTTTAATATACATTGTATACATGTCCTGGACTAATATAATTAATATTTCAGTGCGGGTATTTTATAAACATATACTATTATACTTGCATAAATAAACAATATTAAAACTACATTAATCCAGATAGATGTGGAATCAAAGATTGTACTGTTCTATGATGAATGTTTGCTTTCTGTTTTCAGTTGACAAGCTGGTTTACACACTTCTTGTGAAACCGCATGTAATTGGAATTAGGCTGCCTCTGCCTGGTATATATGTCTAGGACAATAGACACCCTGGGTATAGTCTGTCACGTGACTTCATGGATGAAGTGTGCGCGAGTGATTCGCATTTTCTTTCGCTTGAGGTTTGTAATCACACTTTTTACATGTTTTAAGATTTTGTATCTCTGTGAAACTTGTCCCGTACCATCAATGTCTGAAGACGATCTAATTCACCAAATATCTCATCCAAGCGTGTCCCGGTTAAAGAGAAATTCGCACTTTTGTGTCTCGCAAAATGACGTGTGCGCGAGTAAATCGAATTTTACGAAGGATGGGTGCGCGAGTCTAAAATATTTTTATTCACTTGAGACAATTCTGCAAGCTAAGGCAGAATACAACTCACGTGACATTTGTTTTTGTCATCTTAAAGTAGTATGTTAAAGAATAGTTTGCTATTTTGTAGATGTTTCATGTATGGCACATACATGTCTACGTTTAATGACAATAAATGTTTTGAAATAGCTTGTAGGGCTGTCCGGCATTGCAGGTGAATTAAAATTTGAACCAAAAATTGAATTAAATTTTTGGCGGTCTCATAAAACCGGCAGCATATTCATTTATTGACATCCCATACAAGGGGGGGGGGTCAGAGTTGTTATGTAGTTACTCGGCATCCGCCACGATCAGAACCATGTAAGGAATAGTAAGGGGGAGCCCATGATACCAAGTAATATCAAATAATTATAGGAGCTTCTAACTTCTTCCGCATCCCCACCCTTGGTATACGCAGCTGACAAAATGGATCGGTACGGGTCAAAAGCTGGACCTGTACGGGTTAACGGTTTTATTTGAATTTAAAACAGCTATAACTTGCTCAATATTGACTTCTTCGTATCTAAGTTGAAATATATGATCCCTCCGAATGATTTTAAGTACCCCCAAAGTTCACCCGTACAGGTCCAGCTTTTGACCCATACCGGTCCATTTCGTCAGCTGCGTATACCAAGGGTGGTCCAACATACTTTGTTTTTACAGACTCAGAAATCAATGTTCGCTATAAATGTAGCAATATAATATGAGCTTTCGTGTACTCAGATCCTCCATTTGTAAAAAACAATTGAAGAACAGCATAATAGAAAGTCAAATACAAAATTGATTTGCGCCCAAAATAGTTTGGGTAATGATTCCCGTCACTACCATGCATTTGTCCCCAAAGCAAGGTATTCTGATGGGTAAAATCTTGATACCTCCCCCTCCCCTACTAAAAATGATTTGAATTTGGTTTAAAAATATATACCCCAAGAACACTTTAAGGTATCATAAATTATTGAGGTAGTTATTAGTTAGAAAACACCGTGCCCTTATAGTATTTATTACAATTCTAGAACAATTTCATGAAACGACTCATAAGGAAATTGTTTTTGTAACTGTTTGTACATTTCATATGTTTTTGAATCACCTTGTAACAAAATCAATATTGTGTCTAGCTTGCAGAATTGTTTAAAATGAATATAAATATGTTAGACTCGCGCACCCATCCTTCGTAAAATTCGATTTACTCGCGCACACGTCATTTTGCGAGACACAAAAGTGCGAATTTCTCTTTAACCGGGACACGCTTGGATGAGATATTTGGTGAATTAGATCGTCTTCAGACATTGATGGTACGGGACAAGTTTCACAGAGATACAAAATCTTAAAACATGTAAAAAGTGTGATTACAAACCTCAAGCGAAAGAAAATGCGAATCACTCGCGCACACGTCATCCATGAAGTCACGTGACAGACTATACCCAGGGTGATAGAACAAATACCTAAAGTTACATTTTGATAAACAGCAATATTATTGTGACTGCCATCTTACTGGTTGCTATAGTGATGGCTAAACGACCAAACATTGTGGCAAGAATTTTCATGGGTAAAATTTAATTACAAGAGGCTAAAGGTTTACTATACTAGTACCAGTGGCCTGCCACGCATTAAAGCAAGTGGGCGTAGCACCCACCTGAGATTTGAAAAAACAGGCTTGCACCCATCTGAGAATTCATTCGCACCAACTTGAAAATGAGAAAATCATGAAAAATGGGCATATTTTGACCAATTTTGGTCTTAATTCTGAAAATCAGATTTTTGCACCTACTTGAGAAAAAATCCTAGGGAGAACACTGAGTACACATAAAACAATTCTGAAATAACAAAGTTTTTTTTCTATAAAATATTAATGTATTTTTCCAAATAATATTATACTGTGATCCTTTATTGCTTGTTTTTAAAGTTTTCTTTAACGAAGATAAGATTTCAAATGTTTCAAGCAAACACTGAATGAACATAAAAGTCTAGAATAAACAATATTACTGAGGTAAAATCTTTCGACTGGCAATAAATCATTTTTTTGATACCTAACATAATACTATAAGCTGCTTAACTCAAAAACCTACACTGATCTTTTAACCTTTTCTTTCAAAAGCATCAGTGAAACTACAAAACTCAGTTAAAGTGAAGTATCACATTTCATGTTTAGTTTATAACTGAAGAAGTATTTTATGTTTTGCTTGTCATGTATACTGTTAATATGACAGTAAATGCGTCCTCTGTAACACTGACTGAAGTTTTTAAATAAATTGTTTGTAATATACCGTGTACAATATTTAAGTAAAAAATGTTTAGTCTGAACACTATTGGGACTGCCTTAAAGTGTTCATACAGACAAGTGTTCATACAGAAAAGTGTTCATACAGAAAAGTGTTCATACAGACAAGTGTTCATACAGACAAGAGTTCATACAGACAAGAGTTCATACAGACAAGAGTTCATACAGACAAGTGTTCATACAAACAAGTGTTCATACAGACAAGAGTTCATACAGACAAGAGTTCATACAGACAAGAGTTCATACAGACAAGTGTTCATACAGACAAGTGTTCATACAGACAAGAGTTCATACAGACAAGACTTCATACAGACAAGTGTTCATACAGACAAGAGTTCATACAGACAAGAGTTCATACAGACAAGTGTTCATACAGACAAGTGTTCATACAGACAAGTGTTCATACAGACAAGTGTTCATACAGACAAGTGTTCATATAGACAAGTGTTCATACAGACAAGAGTTCATACAGACAAGACTTCATACAGACAAGAGTTCATACAGACAAGAGTTCATACAGACAAGAGTTCATACAGACAAGTGTTCATACAGACAAGACTTCATACAGACAAGTGTTCATACAGACAAGAGTTCATACAGACAAGAGTTCATACAGACAAGTGTTCATACAGACAAGTGTTCATACAGACAAGTGTTCATACAGACAAGTGTTCATACAGACAAGTGTTCATATAGACAAGTGTTCATACAGACAAGTGTTCATACAGACAAGTGTTCATACAGACAAGTGTTCATACAGACAAGTGTTCATACAGACAAGTGTTCATACAGACAAGTATTCATACAGACAAGTGTTCATACAGACAAGTGTTCATACAGACAAGTGTTCATACAGACAAGTGTTCATACAGACAAGTGTTCATACAGACAAGTGTTCACTTGTTGAAGCTTCTTATCCGTAATCTGTCAGCTCTACAGCAGATTAAAAATGGGATCAAAAAAGCATTCATATTAGGGCTGTTCATCTTAGAGAGGTGTTCATATTAGAGAAGCTGAGAGGTGTTCATATTAGAAAGGTGTTCAGATATACAGGTTTAACTCACTGTAACCTTTATTGTGTCTTAAATAAGACTTCTTGTGAATTTACCAGGCAAAATTAATTGAATTTACTACTGAAATAATTGGGAGTTTTATTTGCTTAATGGTAAATTCTCCATATTGTAAAATCAATGACTGTGACACTTGCATGTCATCATATTTTTTATTCATTCTATTTTCTTTCTGCTAAGATTGCCATTATACTTTGAGAGTGACATGTGTACTAAAGATTTCCAATAATATAATTCTCTTTGTCAACAAGGTCAGAGGCCCCTTGAGAAGATAAACAGGCAGACTGTAGTGTACAGTTTAAGATTAGAATTTCAACTTCCTCATGCAATTCCAGCTTCCTATTTTCTTGTAAAAGTTTACATCCTATCTTATCCCATTCACCTATTAACTACTTGAATACTCAGAAAGATGGATATATATCAGTCACAGAATTTATTACTAAAATGACTAGATAACTTTGACATTGAATTCAGTTGTTCAACTTATACAAAATCTGTATTTCCATACTATACATCAAACATTGTATGTACAGTATATTAATACAGAAATATGGCCAAATCAAGCAAAAAATAATAAAAACCCATATTACATTTCAATATCCCATAAATTATACCTCTTTAACAGTATTGAAGTGTGATGTTGATAAAGAACAATGGTTCAATTTATCAAGGTTTCATATTGACTTAACAAAGGTGAATAAATACTGGTTCGTCTAAATTGATATTTTTAATATTATAGTCCATATTTTCATTAATCAGAATCCGTCTATTAATCTAATGCTTGATTAGACGCTATAGTTCTCAAAGAAAGTACAGGCTATGGATTCAATAATAGTTAATCTGTATGTTATTCGACGAGATGCTTCATACAATTTGATCTGACAAAAGGAAATAGTTGAAAATAAATAAAAATCAATATTACTGTGACATCTGATTAAAAACCATGATAAAAATCAGGAAATAGCTATATTACCACGCGGTTCTAACTTCGACCGTTAATTTGCTGTACCAGATGCTTGGAAATCAAGGATTGCGAGTCTTATACTGCACCGTTTTTCTTCAAACTTATACCATTAAAAGCAAAACAAAATTGCCTTTCTGGTGGTGCATTACTTTATTGTAAAGAGTCCCTCGTTCTAGCAGCGTTATGGGACAAAAATGCAGCTGGAAGTAGGGACTCTGTTTAAGAGAATAATGTACCATCAGAAAGGGATTTTTGTTATGCTTTGAATGGAACAAGTTTGAAGAGAAACGGTGCAGTATGAGACTCGTATTATCCTTGATTTTCAAACATCTGGTAGGTCAAAAATTCAAATTAACGGTTAGGACCGTGTGATTATGTCCCCAATAATCTTAGATCTAAAGATAATAACCATGGGTGTCAGAAGGGTGGGGGTGCAAACTCAACCCCTCTGAAATCACATTTTTCATCAGAAAATAACTATCTAAAGTCCTTAAAAAATGATCAGATTGCACCAAATAATGACTTCAATGAAAACTTTTCCCCCTGGACCTCCCGAGATGCAGCCTAGCTATCACCTGCTGCATCACCTGTATTTTCTAGAAAAACACAACCCCTTTTTCAAATATGGTCTGACGCCCCTGATAACAAAGATAATTTCTCACCTGGGACATCATACCAATTAGCTCCATTTGTAACACCTCCGGGGAAATTGTCGCCTTCGCACAAATTGCCTTTAGGCATTGTAAGGTGGTTGTCTGCATAAACGTGCGCAAGGTGTTTAAATAGATCATTATCAGGTGTTTTACTCTCATGACCTTCGAGAATGTGCGATTTTGAGTCATCGAATGGGTAACTTGCGACTACACTTCCGCCATGTAAATTAGCTGACAGAACAAAATGGTTATCCATAATCCATTGCATCATCGCTTCTGTTTCTGGCTGCCGCCTTTCATCTGTCAGTTGCTTCAAAAATTGATCCGGGAAGTCCCTGTTGAGGTCTGCGCCATTGGCATTACTACGACCCTTCACCCCTTCACAGTCACCCTCCCAAGCTTTTTCAAAGCCATCAGGGTTCATCGTAGGCATGACAAAAATATTGGTTGTGTTGACAAGTTTTGTGAGGCGTTCATCTCGGCCGTATTGCTTTAGTAAGTACTCAATTAGATAGGTAAGTATCTGTCGACTGACTGCTTCATTACCGTGCATATTACCAACATATTTAAACATGGGTTTACTTGGATCTTCTGTTCCAACATTGTGAGTTATATGCATGTACCAGAGATTTCTGCCTTCAACACTGGATCCAATATTTCCAAGTTTTGCAAGTTTTGGATAATCCTTCTCAAATCCTTGTAACATCAACGTTAATTCATTGTATTTCCAATAATGATCGGTTTTTGCTACAACACTAATTGAGACTACTGTATGTGTCGTTATTATCCAGAATATGGGCAAAATTGTCCAAAATATGCCTTTCGAAATTTTTACAAAACTTCCTGTCGCCATTTTACTCAACAGGTGGTAACATAAACACAATCGTTCGCTTTTTTGATGCAAAAGAATGTTGCGCGAACTACTTTCAATTAATCCTTAAATCCTAAGTTTATCATAATAAATTGCCACACGTCTGCTTAGTGCCTGTAATTCATATAACAAAAGAACTTAGAAATTACATTTAGGTGTACCTAGATAAGAATAAATAGCAAACGAAAACTTCGAACTATTTTTTCATTACCGGAAGTCGAAGAATATTTTTGAAGGTGTTGCAGGTCACCATGCTTTTTAAAAATATTGTAAATAACTAAAGTTTTTTTCATTTTCTATCTTAAATAGATAAGGAATACGGTGTAAGTAAATACAGTTCAGCAATGGCAAGACAAAGGAAACGATTCAATCAGAAGGCAAGGCAAAAAACAGACGTAAAAGTTGATCATTCAGAAGATAAAAAGGTGAGTCTCAAAATCCTGGTAAAATAAAATAAAAAATACATGTCCTCAGAATTTACAAATGTATCTTATGTAAATATGAGCTCTAGAGATGTACATAAGGTCGGTTCATCTTTGAATTCTGGGGTATCTCCCCCTGGCCTGTAGCCGGCTTTTGCCAAATGGGGGAGGGGCTCAATTTTCAAAATCAAAGTGTTTTGAATTTATCTACATTAGTTCAGTATTTATCTAATAAATTTCACATAATTCTTCTTGACAATTATTAGAGTTTCTGTGTTTTCAGCTCCAATCTCTTGTTGATGGACATAGCAGAGAAGGATACGATGAAAGTAACCTACTGGTGCTGCCCTCTAGGAAACGCAAGACTAAAACATTAGCTCAAGATCAACATGTTCCTCAAAAATTGAGTAAAAAACAGCGGAAAAATCTACAGAGAATCATTGATAAAAAAGCTAAAAAGTCAAAGGTATGTTGCATAGTTAGGAATTTTGGAGAGCTGAATAAATATGAATATTATACAAATATTTATTAATTAATATTGAAGTGAAAACTTGTGAATCTTTCACAAATAATATACCATGAAGCACTCACATAAATGGAATAATAAACTAATGATGTCTAATTAATTCAATGTGCTCCCGGGTATATATAAAATTAAAATTACACTGGACTAAGTGGTGACTGGTGAATATCATTTGATATTCAATGGAAGTCACATGACTCCATTGAATATCGCTTGTTATTTTTCAGTCACTTGAGGACATACACCCAATCAGAGAGTGAGGAATATAACAGTGAAACAATAATTTTGAATATTATTTCACCTATACGAGCATTGTCTAATTTGTTTCAGAGTGCTGAATTATTATGTCTACTGCATATACATAATCTTCATGTTTCAGAGGGTTGAAATACTAGAGTCTCTGCAGAAGGTCCAAGCCAACCCCAAGGAACTCTCGATGCTCATTTCCACATCAGAAGTGACCAGTCAGAGATTCAAAGCAACGTTGGATATCGAACAATCTTCAACAGGCCAGATAAAGGTCAACTCAATAAGTGGTAGTAATAAAAAGAAAAGAAAGTTGGAAGAAGATATTGAGATAAAGGATAGTAGTGAAAGCAGCACTGATACTTCAGATTACTCTTCGGATGATGACGTAGATGATGAAACCACAAAGGGCAATATTGATGCCGTACAAAATCCAGATGATGCCAAAAACAATGATAACAAATCAGATAGAACTGAAGACATTGAATGTAAGTCATCTGCAAATAAAACACCATTACCATCAGTGAGTCCTACTAAAACTAAAGTGAATAACTCAAATGAACACAGTGCAATAGGAGAAAAACATGATAAGACAACTGGTAAAGTGACAGAAGCAGCAAAGGAGAAGGCTCCAGTGAGATCTGTTATAAATGTTCCAGTTAACAGAACATCTGAAATACAGGTAAAAATGACATACTAAATTAACTTGAAGCATTATTATACAAAATATACATGAGAAAAGTCTGTCAAATCTTGTATATGTGGCTTCAGAAACTCCAGTTGTTGGATGGATTGATAACTCATTATGATATGTGTAAATGGTACCTTTGTCCAAGTTTAGATAAACTTTTTAAATTGCTCAAAGGTTCAGCTTTAAACTCATTCTACTTTACATGCCTAAATGATACCTTTAATTTTTTTCTTTGTCTTTTTGGTAAAATCTGTAAATTGTTTAAAAAGAAAAAAATATTTTCCAGGAAAGCCGCCTTAAACTGCCCATATTAGGAGAAGAGCAGCATGTAATGGAGACTATTTCTGAACACCCTGTGGTCATTCTATGTGGTGCAACTGGGTCTGGTAAAACAACACAAGTTCCACAATTTCTATATGAAGCTGGATATGCCCAGTAAGTTCCTTTATAAAACACCATTATGCACAATAAACCTGTATTTCTGAGCACCCTGTAGTTATCCTATGTGGTGCAACAGGTTCGGGTAAAACAACACAAGTCCCACAATTTCTATATGAAGCTGGATATGCCCAGTAAGTTCCTTTATAAAACACCATTATGCACAATAAACCTGTATTTCTGAGCACCCTGTAGTTATCCTATGTGGTGCAACAGGTTCGGGTAAAACAACACAAGTTCCACAGTTTCTGTATGAGGATGGATATGCTCAGTAAGTTCTTTTATAAAACACCATTATGTACAATAAAACCTGTATTTCTGAACACCCTGTAGTCATTCTATGTGGTGCAACTGGGTCTGGTAAAACAACACAAGTTCCACAGTTTCTATATGAAGCTGGATATGCACAGTAAGTTCCTTTATGAAATACTATTATGTACAATAAACTTGTATTTCTGAGCACCCTGTAGTTATCCTATGTGGTGCAACAAGATCGGGTCAATCAACACAAGTCCCTCAGTTTCTATATGAAGCTGGATATGCTCAGTAAGTTCCTTTATGAAACACTATTATGTACAATAAAATCTGTAACTCTGAGCACCCTGTAGTCATTCTATGTGGTGCAACAGGATCAGGTAAAACAACACAAGTTCCACAGTTTCTATATGAAGCTGGATATGCTCAGTAAGTTCCTTTATGAAACAATATTATGTACAATAAAACCTGTATTTCTGAACACCCTGTAGTCATTCTATGTGGTGCAACAAGGTCTGGTAAAACAACACAAGTTCCGCAGTTTCTATATGAAGCTGGATATGCTCAGTAAGTTCCTTTATGAAACACTATTATGTACAATAAAATCTGTAACTCTGAGCACCCTGTAGTCATTCTATGTGGTGCAACAGTATCGGGTAAAACAACACAAGTTCCACAGTTTCTATATGAAGCTGGATATGCTCAGTAAGTTCCTTTATGAAACAATATTATGTACAATAAAACCTGTATTTCTGAACATTCTGTAGTCATTCTATGTGGTGCAACTGGATCTGGTAAAACAACACAAGTTCCACAGTTTCTATATGAAGCTGGATATGCTCAGTAAGTTCCTTTATGAAATACTATTATGTACAATAAACCTATATTTCTGAGCACCCTGTAGTCATTCTATGTGGTGCAACATGATCGGGTAAAACAACACAAGTTCCACAGTTTCTGTATGAAGCTGGATATGCATAGTAAGTTCTTTTATGAAACAATATTATGTCCAGTAAAACCTGTATTTCTGAGCACCCTGTAGTTATCCTATGTTGTGCAACTGGGTCTGGTAAAACAACACAAGTCCCTCAGTTTCTATATGAAGCTGGATTTGCTCAGTAAGTTCCTTTATGAAATACTATTATGTACAATAAACTTGTATTTCTGAGCACTCTGTAGTTATCCTATGTGGTGCAACTGGGTCGGGTAAAACAACACATTAAGTTCCTCAGTTTCTATACGAAGCTGGATATGCTCAGTAAGTTCCTTTATGAAACAATATTATGTACAGTAAAACCTGTATTTCTGAACACCCTGTTGTCATTCTATGTGGTGCAACTGGGTCTGGTAAAACAACACAAGTTCCACAGTTTCTATATGAAGCTGGATATGCTCAGTAAGTTCCTTTATGAAACAATATTATGTACAATAAAACCGGTATTTCTGAACACCCTGTAGTTATCCTTTGTGGTGCAACAGGATCTGGTAAAACAACACATTAAGTTCCTCAGTTTCTGTATGAAGCTGGATATGCTCAGTAAGTTCCTTTATGTCATGTACAGTAAAACCTGTATTTCTGAACACCCTGTTGTCATTCTATGTGGTGCAACTGGGTCTGGTAAAACAACACATTAAGTTCCTCAGTTTCTGTATGAAGCTGGATATGCACAGTAAGTTCTTTTATAAAACACTATTGTGTACAATAAAACCTGTATTTCTGAACACCCTGTTGTCATTCTATGTGGTGCAACAGGATCTGGTAAAACAACACATTAAGTTCCTCAGTTTCTGTATGAAGCTGGATATGCTCAGTAAGTTCATATGAAATATACAATAAAACCACCTCAAAAAACCACCATTCAATTCAATCACCTCTCTAACCTACTGGCTTTAGACTTCCAAAAAGAATCTGGAAATGCAAACACCTTCCATTGGGAACACTGAACACCTCTATGGCATTTGGATTAAGCAGGTTAAAAGGTAGTTAGTAGGTTAAATCACATCTCCGTAAAACCTTGTAATAATGGGTTATATTTTACAATTTAACTGGGCCATATGTGGAATGAAAAAAATGACTTGAAAACATGATTGCCCAATTTACCGTATTGGCATTCAGTCCATTGCCCAATAGGCAACTTCTTTTTTGTAATTTAATTGCCAAGAGTTAAATTGATTGCCATTTGGATTAAACAGGTTTAAAGGTAGTTAGTAGGATAAATCACATCTCTGTAAAACCTTGTAATAATGGGTCATATTTTACAATTTAACTGGGCCATATGAGGAATGAAAAAGTGGCTGTTTTGAGCAGCCCATGTACCAGGGTTCATGACTTGAAAACATGATTGCCCAATTTAAAATATTGGCATTCAGTCTATTGCCCAATGGGCAAACAGTTTTTCATATTACTATTGGCAATGATGCAGCTGTTTCTATGTCTAAAGTTGAAAACATGATTGCCCAATTTACCATATTGGCATTCAGTCCATTGCCCAATAGGCAAACAGTTTTTCAAAATTCATTGCCAAGAGTGAAAATCATTGGTAGTCAGGCAGCTATGAGTTTGGAACCCTTACATGAACTCTTGATGATTCTTGCCCAATAGGCAAGTAGTTTTTCCTATTACTGTGGGCAATGATGCAACTGTTTCTATGTCTAAGGTTAAAACATGATTGCCCAATTTACCATATTGGCATTCAGTCCATTGCCCAACAGGCAAAAAGTTTTTCAAAATTCATGGCCAATAGTGAAAATCATTGGTAGTCAGGCAGCTATGAGTTTGGAACCCTTGCCTTATATGAACTCCTGATGATTCTTGTTTGTTTCAGTGATGTTGGGATGATTGGAATCACAGAGCCAAGGAGGGTGGCAGCTATTAGTATGTCAAGGCTCTTAATAATTCTTGTTTGTTTCAGTGATGTTGGGATGATTGGAATCACAGAGCCAAGGAGGGTTGCAGCTATTAGTATGTCAAGGCTCTTAATAATTCTTGTTTGTTTCAGTGATGTTGGGATGATTGGAATCACAGAGCCAAGGAGGGTGGCAGCTATTAGTATGTCAAGGCTCTTAATAATTCTTTTGTGTTTCAGTGATGTTGGGATGATTGGAATCACAGAGCCAAGGAGGGTGGCAGCTATTAGTATGTCAAAGCGGGTCGGCACTGAACTGAATCTCTCTACACGGTAATTAATGCCGAGTTATGCCAATGAATTTTTTTTGATTTGACTTACTTTTGCAATTTGACCTTTTTTAGCAACTCAATTTTAATGACTGCCAAATTAAACCAAAATGATGGAAGTCAAAATAAGTTTTCAGTGCATAACAAATTATCTGTGATTTGTGAACGAAGGCATCAGCTTAAATTTTCACCATGTAAGTCCATCAAACGGTGACATATTGTTATAGTCTCAACTTTTTTGTGGATGGTGTTTGGGGGTTGGCATTTGTAACATCACACAACAGTCAGTGTTTGTAACAGCATTCAGCATCTGACGGTCAGCATCTGTAACAAACGGCAGGTGGTGACATTTTACATGTTGATGCATTTTTGTTTGTTTGTTCGCTCAGTTGTTTGATTGTCATTTGTGACTTTGATCATGTTTTAGTGAGGTGTCTTACCAGATTAGATACGAAGGGAACACAACTCCAGATACCAAACTGAAGTTCATGACTGATGGAGTTCTCCTGAAAGAAGTCCAGAAAGTAAGTCCTTGTAGAACTCTCTTTTTATATCTCATCAGTGGTGGATTGATACATGTTGTAAGCTCCTAGTATTACCTTTTCTGCTTGTAATAAAGAAGATATCAAAACCTGAAAGCCATGCTTGGAAAAGGACTAAAATCATGTTTGCTGTTCAGTCAGTTTCTAGAGACCATATACACCATAAAAGTGGCATGTGCACTCTTTAGAGAGAAAACAGTGAATAGCAGAGGTCGGGTAATTTCGGGTTGGGTCAGAAGAAAACAGAACAATGAATTCCGACACCTCTAGTGGATAGGAAGAAGTATTTTCTTGTTTGAGTTCATCTTATATTTTAGGATTTTCTCTAATATTTTAGGATTTTCTCTATTATTTTAGGATTTTCTCCTCAGTAAGTACAGTGTGATCATAATTGACGAGGCTCACGAGCGCAGCATTTACACAGACATTCTCATTGGTCTACTTTCTAGGATTGTACCTCTCAGACACAAGGTATGTAGCATCATTTGCAGTTGTTAGTGATCTTTCATTTCCACTCTAAAAAGGTTAAAGGCCTCATGCAAAGTTAGAATATATTATTTAATTTTACATGGGACATTTCCTTTAAGATGTCTACTATTGTTAATAAATTTAGTGCTATTACATAAAGGGAAAAAAGAAGAAAATGGCTGCTTTGTTTTTTTCATGACTTGTAGTAACCAAAAACATTTTAGAATACAAAATGTGAAAAAAATCTTTAAAAAGTTAAAGCTATAAGTTGTGTGCATGTATATGTATTATGTTGTCCCACTCTCTGTAATGAAACCAGTTATAAACATATATGTTGTCCCACTCCTAATGTAAAAATGAAGGTATAAGTATTTTGGAAGTTGGAATGTGAATGGATTCTACCCTTTGTCTCATGACATCTGCTTTTCACTCTTACAGAAAGGCTCCCCTCTGAAGCTGGTCATCATGTCTGCAACACTGAGAGTGGAGGATTTTACTGAGAACTCTCGCCTCTTTAAGATAAAACCACCAGTTATAGAGGTAAGGAAAAAATAGTTAAAGAGGTAAGATAAAAACAGTTAATAGAGGTAAGATAAAAACAGTTAATAGAGGTAAGATAAAAACAGTTAATAGAGGTACATTAGAAACTGGTATGATGTTATAGATATAAGATGAAAGAGATTGGTATAATATAAGGGTTATATAAAAGAAAAGTTTTGGAGGCAAAATTAGACTGTTATTCTTGAAATAAATCATTTTAAAAACAACTTCAGTGGTATTTATATCAACATTTTCGAGGCAATTTTCTTGTCTGACAACTTACGCTATCTGTGTTATTTATTTATAGATTGAGTCCAGGCAGTTTCCAGTGACTATGCATTTTAACAAACACACCCCCCAAGAAAATGCCTACCTAAATGAGGCCTACAGAAAGGTCTGTAAAATACACCGGTCCTTACCAGAGGGAGGGATACTAGTTTTTGTAACAGGCCAGCAAGAAGTGAACACATTGTGCCGGAAAATACGTGAAACGTTTAAGAGCAAGTTGTCTGACACAAAAAATAAAGGTATGCTACCCTGTAAATGCTTGTATGTTACTGTACTTTAACTGAAATTAACTTAATTTGGCGGCCATTTGAATTTTCTGGGATCCGCCAAATTGTTTAAGTCAGCCAAATTAAGTCGCTACCGAATTCCCTGGTAATTTTAGTAACATGTAAATTAGTACCAGTACATTGTAATATTGCAAGTCTGCCAAATAAAGTAGCCGACAAATGTTCAAAACAGCAAATCTGCCAAAATAAGTGGCGCCAAATTAAGTGGATGGATCAGGTAGAGCTGGGGAGCTATGATGGTAGTGGAATGGAACGGATTTTGGAATTTGCATTTAGAATTCTAAATTTATGGAACTTCAAAACTAATTGACATATTTCAATTCGTAAATAAAGTTTTTTTCAAAAATGTACACTATGAAATCGTAAAATTGATTGAAAATCATGGTATTTTGAATTTTTACAGTGAATTTTTATAATTTGAATGCATTACCAATTTTCTGGTCATTTTTAAGAATAATGTTTTATGTAGATTCACAACCCCTCTCAAGATGGCGATTCAATCAAAATGCCAATTTTCTTTTTTAAAATATTGCCTTTCTGTAGATGGATATTTTTATATCATATGTTTATCTGGAAGAATTTGCTACTCTGATTGGAAGTGCGTAAATTTTGTATTTCATTGAATTGTAAAATAACTTGTTTCAGCTGTCAAGGAAGATGACAAAGAATCTAGTCAGATGAAGACAAAAATTCCCAGGGTGCAACTTGATGATTATTCTGTTCTCCCTGAAGATGATGAGTTATCGGAGCAAGATGGTGCTCATGGTAACAACCAATCAGATGAAGAGCTCTCAGAGCCTGATGACGATGATACTTTTGTAAGAGAATCAATAATTTATACAATAACTAGATTACAGATAAAAGTTAATATTATAACATTTGTCAAAATTGGAAATGAAATTAGATGAAATTAAAGTTTTGTCAAGACTTTTGAAAGTTTCCTATAAATGATAATGATTATCTCCAAAATGAGATGATGTTCACTGGTTTGCCATCAGTTTACCCAACTGAAAATCATTTCAATTGTAGGTTTATACAAGTTTTGTTGTATTTCATTTATTGTATTCTAGGATGGTATGATCAATTATATTGCCCAAGGAATACTTCCAATATCCTGGCCCTCATATAGAATAACCTTTACATTTTTTATTCTAGGATGATGTCTCTAGAGAGCCAGGTGACTCACAGAACCCGATCTATGTTCTTCCTCTCTACTCCATGTTACCAACACATAAACAAGCCAAGGTAAATATCTTATTTACATTGCTTCCTGTTCAGATTAATTTTGAGTTTTTGTATTTAATTGGGTTCCATTGATGTTTTTAGTGATTCGCTTAAATTTTTATTAGAAAAATACCTATTTGATCTGTATAAGTGTTTCCAATATGCTGGGATTGTCCGAGTCGACAGAAAGGGCAAAGCAAGCCATATGATACAAAAAATCAATTGTGTTAAAGATAAGTTCACCGTTTCTGGATTGCTGTGCATTTGTATGAAATATAACTTTATTCTCAAAGTTATTCTGGAAATTCCTATGTATTCTTTGTATTGTAGGTGTTTGAGGCGCCCCCTGCTGGCCATAGACTAGTAGTTGTTGCTACAAATGTGGCAGAAACATCACTCACAATACCGAACATTAAATATGTGGTTGACACTGGAAAGGTAGGTAAACTAGTAGTAGTTGCTACAAATGTGGCAGAAACATCATTTACAATACCTAATGTTCACACTGGAAAAGTAGTAAATTAAGTTTAAATCATTATGTCTTCGATGAAATTCCCAAATATTTGCCAGAAACTAGATCTAGATAAATACTGACAAGAAAAATATCAAAAGTTGTTGAATATGTTCCTTTTGGTTCAACAAGAGAGAATATGTGGTTAATTATGTTTTTTGGTTCTTTAGTTCCTGATTTCTTAAGCATAGATGTATAGATGCATTTACCAGTGAAGAATGCAATTGCGGTAAAACTTGTATATTTTTTGATTCCATTTTAGCAAATCTTGATATTTGAACACCTGCTAATCCAAACACTTTTGGCTGATCCCAATGGTGGTCAGACTAGCTAGATAGGTTTTACTCTACAGGTCCATAGCCAGGATTTGCCAAGAGTGTTCACTTTTTGAAAAATTCCAGGGGGGTTATCTTGTGAACATTCTGGTCCACAAATGGCCAAAACACTTAAAAAGTGCTCAGAATGCTCTATATGAATATTAGTTGAATTATTTGATTGCGCACCTTTCAGGTGAAGACGAAGTTCTATGATAAAGTGACAGGAGTGTCCTCCTTTAAGATCACATGGACATCTAAGGCATCAGCCAATCAGAGGGCAGGAAGAGCTGGTCGAACAGGTCCGGGTCACTGCTACAGGTAAGGTTGCATCTGATTTCGATTTATAAAAGTCACAAGGGTGACCAAGATTACAAGTCATGTACATATAATGTCCACCTATTTGATCTCAGATGACTGTCATTGAAAGGAGCATGTAGGTTATCGCAAACAATTTCAAACAATTCTAACTTTAATTATGAATATTTTCTGATCATGAACATGGGTGTATCTTTTAGATCCATTCATTATCTTCAAGAAAAGTATATATAATCATAATTTAGTTAATCAGACCTAAGTGATATTGAAGGGGCAATGGACCAATCAACATACTTTTTCAAAAATGTTGACCTAATTTTCACCAAAAATGCAACCTATTATTATATTGTCTATTATAAGAACTATTTGATAAGCATGTGGATAACCCACATGCTCCTTTTCCAACTTTTCTCTGTTTTGAGAAATAAATGATTTTGAAGTCAGTCACATTTGTATCACTGAGTATGTTGTTTAGAACTCACCTTGTGAGTGGTGTATTCTTCATGTATAATTTGGCTGTACATGTTCAGTGAGTAATGTTTCTGTTTTTTCATTGACAAATGTATTGCAGGTTGTATTCTTCAGCTGTATTCAATGATGAATTTGAACTGTTCTCTTCCCCAGAGATCACTAGACGTCCAGTAGATGACCTTCTGCTCCTAATGAAGGTGAGTATAAAGAGGGGAAAATACCCAAATTCATAGGTGAACCTATTTCCGTATAAAAATGAACATACAGAAAATCTTCTTTATACTGAGATTGGTTCATATTTTAATTCTGGGATATTTCCCTATAATTCCATGATTCCATGAACACTTGAGTGAATCTTCTTTATATAGATGTCATCTTTTAATGATATCGTTACTGACTGTTTTGTGAAAAAGTGCTGTATGTCACTGTAGTTTTAATAAAACCAAAAGTTTATTTTTGAGCTTTTCTTATGTTTTTTGCAGGACCTCAATATTGATAAAGTGGTGAATTTCCCATTTCCTAGCCCTCCAGATAGACTAGCTTTGAAGGTAAGCTTTTTTAATTTCCAAGTTTACTTCAAAAAATCATTGAATCTTTAAAATAGATTGAATTGCCAACAAGGTTAATAGATTGACATTAGTGGCAAAATACCAATCACAGTAAAACCTGTGAAATTCAAACTTTAACACTTTTGGTACTTCTTAAATTTCTTCCACTTTGGAGGTCCTCCATTTGCAGACGTTCATGCAACATTATGCATCGCACAAAAAATACCCTATCACATGCAGCAGTATTAAGTATTGAGTCATTTGGTAATATGTAGTGGGACTCTGAAAAGTGTCATAAATATTGGTGTGTTTCATATTACAAGTCTCACTGCAGAATGTATCTGATATTTGAACAAAACAAACTATTGATATTTGATCATATAGATATCTTGACATTGATGTAATTCATTTCAGGCTGCTGAAAAACTACTGCTATCACTAGGGGCCTTGGAGCCCCCTGCTAAACCTCAAAAACCCACACGAAAATCCCAGAGAGCTGAAATGGACAATCCTAGTGCAAGAATATCTCCTTTAGGGCGTGCCATGGCATGTTTCCCAGTGGCTCCTCGATATGGCAAGATGCTATCTCTTGGTACGCAGACACTTAAAATATATGAAACATACTAGCTTTAGTATATGCAAAATCAATGCAGAAATGTAGTTTGAATTACTGCCCATAGGTGACACCAATGTTTTTATTTGAACATCCTAAACTAAAAAAGGAAAACAAATATTCACTCTCAAAATAATTTAAAATCTGAAATGGAATTGTTTTTTTAGGCCATCAACACAACCTTCTGCCCTATGTGATAGCCCTAGTGGCTGCCCTGTCTGTGCAAGAACTTTTTGTGGAGATAGGAGAGCCACCTATTGATGAAACTGAGAAGCAAGCTTGGAAGAATCGGGTTGGAAAAATGGTCATGTTGAAGAAGACATGGGCTGGGCAGGTATATTATATCAGCTAACTGTTAAATTAATCAATGTATACCCTCCCCTCCAAAAGTTTGTCAGCGGAAGGTTTTAATTTGATAGTATGTCAAATCCTGTCAATGAATTTAGTTCCTTAATTACAATTGTTCAGAAATATATGACTGATGAATTATTATGTCACTATTAGAAGAGGTGACATGGTGACCTGTCACATGTTGACAGGTGACATGTTGTTATGGTCTCCAACTTTTTTTGTGGTCTGTGATCGGCATTCGGCGTCTATGACAAATGCCAGGTGGGGACATTTGGCATGTCAATGCCTTGTTTTAAATGCCGACACAAAAACTTGCTTTAATATGTTGTTATGGTCTCCAACTTTTGTGAACTGTGTTTGGCATTCGGCGTCTGTAACAAATGTCGGTAGGGGCCATCATTGTAGAATAGAGTGTATGGGAAATGAATGGCAAGTCTACAACTATATTGACAGCTATATATTCAACCAGTTCTGACATCACTCTGACCCTTGTGATATATCCTGGTAATTATTTTGCTCTTGTAATATGCTTATGGTTTTTTTTATGTGCAGGTTTTTTATGTGCCTAATTTTTGTAGAGAATAAATGAAAAAAATAAGTAAAAAGATAAATTAATAAACTTGAGCTATTCGTCATCCAGTCCACCTCATTTTGCACAATATTATTAATACATTTTCAGGGCCAAAGTGCATTGCTAGGGGACCCGATGGTGCTTTTGAAGGCAGTAGGAGCATGTGAATACTGTTGCACTGTATTATTAATACATTTTCAGGGCCAAAGTGCATTGCTAGGGGACCTGATGGTGCTTTTGAAGGCAGTAGGAGCATGTGAATACTGTTGTACTGTATTATTAATACATTTTCAGAGCCAAGTGCATTGCTAGGGGACCCGATGGTGCTTTTGAAGGCAGTAGGAGCATGTGAATACTTTTGTACTGTATTATTAATACATTTTCAGGGCCAAAGTGCATTGCTAGGTGACCTGTTGGTGCTTTTGAAGGCAGCAGGAGCATGTGAATACTGTTGTACTGTATTATTAATACATTTCAGGGGCAAAGTGCATTGCCAAGGGACCTGTTGGTGCTTTTGAAGGCAGCAGGAGCATGTGAATACTGTTGTACTGTATTATTAATACATTTTTAGGGCCAATGTGCATTGCTAGGGGACCTGATGGTGCTTTTGAAGGCAGTAGGAGCATGTGAATACTGTTGTACTGTATTATTAATACATTTTCAGGGCCAAAGTGCATTGCTAGGGGACCTGATGGTGCTTTTGAAGGCAGTAGGAGCATGTGAATACGCTGGCTGCTCCACAGACTTCTGCTTCCAACATGGCATAAGGCATAAAGCAATGATTGAAATACGTAAACTCCGATCTCAGCTCACCAATGCAGGTATGGAAGGGTCATGTTGCTATGAATGATTGTAGCATTTTTTGCTCACACAGTAAGCATATGGAATAACTCGGCATCTTTCTGTCCATCAGTCCATCCATCCATTCGTCCATCAGTCTGTTCTTCTGCCAACATAGGTGGTACAAATTAAAACTGCTTTTTGTATTAAGAAGTGTCTACATTCATTTTTATGTCACCATCAGAAACGGTGACATATTTTTATAGTCTCCAAGTTTTTTGTACCCTGTGTTCGGCATTTGGCATTCAAAAGTCGGCAGATTTTACAGGGTTTGGGTTGACAGATTTGATTTATATTTTATAGGCTGGTATCTTATGTATAGGAAAACTCAATATGACTGCTTAATTCAAAATGTCCCCATTTTGTGTAAAAAAAATCTTTGATGACTCAAATACAAGTAGTCGCATTTAGTTCAAATATGCTGATGCCTAAGGACATAGAAGATTCAAGATGGCTGCTTATTTTCATAATTGCTCCAAATTTGTGGGTTTTTGTTAACTAGGATACCAGGTATCAGACATGGTCTAAACTTAAAAAGCTGATGTCTTGTAGAAATAGGATTTCTATCCACTCAATTCAAAATGGCTGACATTTTTCATAAAAAATATAATTTCCAGTATTTGTACAACGTCAATTTTTTTATATATAACAGCCGGCTGATTCTTGTTGTAATTTTTGAAAGACCAAAATGGCACATTTAGGGTTTTTTGCCAAGTAGCCTACCTAGTAAATAGGTAGAATAAGATCTGAAAATGGCAATAAGTAGGACGATATTAAGGGGTCTTTGAGGGTAGGTAGATTAAAATGTGACAATAAAATGGCAATTAGATAGAATAAATCACAGAATCAAAGTCACTTATAACTCCATACATTTCTATTATAGTATATATAAATTTTGAAGTCATTTATCATCCCAATATGTTCCCCTCCATCATTGCCGTGGTAGATTTTCAAAAATTTACGGTAGATTTTACGGCCGTTCGCATGGAATGAGTTTAAAAAAAAATTTGCGGTAGATTTCAAAAAAAATACGGGAGATTTTTTTACGGGAAAAAAATGGTATTTTTTACGGTAGTTTGTCATTTTTTTACGGAAAAACGAAAAATTTACGGTAGATTCCCGTAAAAATACGGTAGGTTGGCAGGTATGAAAATGGCACATTTAGGGTTTTTTGCCAAGTAGCCTACCTAGTAAATAGGTAGAATAAGATCTGAAAATGGCAATAAGTAGGACGATATTAAGGGGTCTTTGAGGATAGGTAGATTAAAATGTGACAATAAAATGGCAATTAGATAGAATAAATCACAGAATCAAAGTCACTTATAACTCCATACATTTCTATTATAGTATATATAAATTTTGAAGTCATTTATCATCCCAATATGTTCCCCTCCATCATAGCCCAAGCTCAAGTGTTTTCTGTATATTGTATGGGGCATTTTGTTTCATATTAGAATATGCAAGATACTCTTATTTAGGACAAACTTTCATGTCAATCTTTTTAAAAGAATAATAAGCATTGTCACCTGATCCAATTTTGTTTGGCCAGTGATACCATGTCACACAAGTAGCAATAGCAGGGCACTTAGCATTAGTACTATAAAAACCAAACAGATTTGAAACGTGGCAGGCTTTATACCACCAAGCCCCTTTGCGACTAACAGCACAATTGCTGGGCCATTTATCATGATCATGGTCCTTTGTACTAAATGCCATACCATTATGGTAAGCAAGAGAGTCCCCTGCAGTTCCACTATAACCTCCAATTGTCAATGTGTAGTTATCGTGTTCATCACTCACATCAAATATGGAGTATTCAGCATACCTTGTTAGACTCTGTGGGGGCCACATGGTAAGTTCAACTCTGAGTTTGTAATAACCTTGATATAATAACCCGTGAAGGTTGTCCAGGCCAATGAAATGTTCACCTACAGGGCTACCAAACCCTCTTTGGTACTCTGTCCAGCCTCTGTAGAAATCAACACTCCCATCAAAGCGCCTTGCCATGTAGACACACCCACCACTACAGTACACTCTGAATGCATTTTGTCCCTGTGGTTGGATTATTCTAGCACCAGTAAAGCTTGTGTCATCACTACAGTCATGAGGCAAAGGTTCTGAAAAACAATAAAGGCATCATATAGTTAAAGTTTGAAACTAAATTTTTTTCATGACTGCATGAAGAAATAATAATAAATATTTGGTGAATGACTTTATACTCATGTCTGGTAATCAGTAGAAATGAATGGAGGGGGAGTAGCTAATTTTCGCTAGAAAGTTCAACAAATTTTGAAGATATTAGTATTATACAATTGCCATTGTTATCCCATCGAACGAAGTTCGGAGGGATATAGGGAACGCCTCCGTCCGTCCGTCCGTCCGTCCGGGCAATAACTCAAATACCGTTGGCCCGATTTTATTCATATTTTGTACACATATACCCTATGGAGATAGAAGTTCTGCTCGAAAGCCGATTTTCAAAATGGCCGCTCATTAAAAAATGGCGGTCATTTTAGTGCCGATTTTACAGTAATTTAAGTGCAATATGTAAAACTGTAATAGCAATATGTTTTAAATGTAAAAAAATTATTTAGGACATTGGTAAAGCTAGAAATATAGATATTAAAGAAGCACATGGCAGCCATCTTGAAAAATGGCGGCCTTTACTCATTATTTTACGATTTTTGCTGTAACTCAAGAAGTAGTGGAGCGATTTTGTTCATATTTGGTATGTGAATACTATAAGCATGGCACACTGTCTAATGACACTTTTGGTAGGAGGCGGCCATTTTGAAAAATGGTGGCCATTTTGAAAAATGGCGGCCATTTTAACATATTTTACTATAACTCAAAAAGTAGTGGAGCGATTTTGTTCATATTTGGTTTGTGAATACTATAAGCATGGCACACTGTCTAATGACACTTTTGGTAGAAGGCGGCCATTTTGAAAAATGGCCGCCATTTTAACGTATTTTACTATAACTCGAAAAGTAGTGGAGCGATTTTGTTCATATTTGGTATGTGAATACTATAAGCATGGTACACGGTCTAATGACACTTTTGGTAGAAGGTGGCCATTTTGAAAAATGGCCACCATTTAAATGTATTTTACTCTGCCTTTACTCGTTGTTTTACGATTTTTGCTGTCACTCGAAAAGTAGTGGAGTGATTTTGTTCATATTTGGTATGTGAATACTATAAGCATGGCACACTGTCTAATGACATACTTTTGGTAGAAGGCGGGCCATTTTGAAAAATTTCCACCATTTTAAAGTACTTTACTACAACTCGAAAAGTAGTAGAGCAATTTTGTTCATATTTGGTATGTGAATACTATAAAGAAAAAAAGCATATTACTTCTTCTGATGACAACTTGGCTAGTGAGCAACCATTTTGAAAATGGTGACCTTTCTTATGTGTGTTATTTTATGATATTTGCTATATATTTCAAAAATGCCAGCCATTTCTGTTCGATGGGATTCGCTACGCCTTGGCGTTGCCGTTGTTCTGGTTGGTTTTGTAAAATACATTTCCATATGTTATATAATAAATAATCGAAAATTATTAGAATTGAACTGAGGGGGGGGGGTAACGGAGGGGGGAGTGAACGGAGGGGGAGTATTGGAGTAATTTGTCTATAAGTCATATGATAAGAGATGTAACTTGACTTTATTTCCAATAACTCCAAATGTACCTAATTTTCACTTTCAGAGTTGTAACATCAACTTATTACTGAGTTATCGAGTTCAGTTTTCAAATACACAAATCCGTGGAGATTTATTTCACCTTAAAGACATATTACTCCCCCCTCCACCCCCTCCCTCCTCCCCCTCTGTTTCATTTCAATTATTTTTTATCTAACATATGGAAAGTTATTTTGAAAAACCAGCAATGGCATTAATTTTGTGATGAAAACATCACTTTTAGTATATATTACAGGTCGTGTAGGCAATTGTCGCTTGATTAACATCAAAAACATTGACATTTGCATATTGGTGATGTTGCACCTTTTCCAATAGATCTTATATCTAAGAAGCCTCTCGGTTAAAAAAAATCACAGAAGACCTTACATATTTCCCCGTGTACTGCCCCTATTAATTTAGGAATGCAATTGTAAACTTTCTGTTGAAAAAAAAATCTTGCGGACTTATTGCATTTTCTAGCAAAGATCAACCACTCCCCCTCCGTTCATTTCTTCCGATCATTGGGTGTGATACTACTAGACTAAAAATTGAAACAATTTATATAATAGTAGTAAGCTGTCTTACCTTCTGATTTACATTTACAATTGTCCTGTATCCTTTTCATTAAGTGATCTTTTATAAGAATTACATCAGCTTTCATCTCATCAACTTTATCATTTACTTCTTCCACTTTATCATTTACTTCTTCCACTTCATCATTTACTTCTTCCACTTTATCATTTACTTCTTCTACTTTATCATTTACTTCTTTCACTTCATCATTTACTTCTTCCACTTTATCATTTACTTCTTCTACTTTATCATTTACCTTTTCCACTTTTTCATTTACTGCATTCATTTGTTCTTCATCTCTTGTGCAGCAGTTTTGTGTATCAGATTTTAGTTCACTAAGCTGTGTGCTCAAGCGTGTATCAAGGTTGTCAATATGCGTTTTCTTGCAAATTACAGGCCTCTTAGCTTTTTTCTGTAAATGAACATCCCTAACGAGGAATACTATTAACAATACTTTCAGATACATGATTGTAGCAAGATGTGTGTTGATCAGAAATTGACGGTGCTCAGTTAAAGTTGATTTACCTGAGAATGAAAACATTATTTTTACTTTGCATGCGTCATTAATTTAGCTGCTTTGCATCAAGCAGATAATTACGTGCAATATCACTGTGATTTAAAGACATACTATGCCTTCCAGAGCACCTTATCTATTGAGAAAAAGGTTATGTGAAAAGTGTGCCATTTCACTTTTGACATGAACAAATTGGGGCCGGGTCATTTGAATGTCCGCCGAAAAAACATATTTAATTTAGTAATGGCTTTACCCCCCCCCCCCCTTCCTCCCTTCTTCTAGCGAAGGTCAAAATGTTGATTTGTACGCAGTAAAAACAAGTCAAAATGTTGATTTAAATACAGTGTTCAAGTACAAGCCCAGTATACAATATCTGCTAGTGCAATAAACAACACATATCAAGTTCACTTACATATCTGATGTGGCTGATACCTTAATTGATAACTTATTATGTACATTTGTTTCAACATCGGGTGTATGATCCCATTCTCACACATTTTCTATATGCCCCAGGTCCTCTGATTTTTTATTACTCTGGCAACCATTTATAATTGAGTATTTCTGTTATACCAAATATTTTTGGTGGAGTTAATCTTCATTGCATATTGTACATTTTGTGACAATAACAATAAAAAAGTTGAAAACACCTTTATTATTACCTGCATACGAGATATGTATTTAAATATATGCTATCGTATCATAAGGATTTATCTCAACAAATATGCTAATTAACAAGGGTAGAGCATGTCTTTAACAGTACATTATTTAATCGATTGATTTTGCCTCATCATATTTATATATGAGGTAATACATTGAACAATAATGTTTGAAAGTATTTTTCATCTCTGATCTTAGTATGTACATATCATTTATAAAACCCATCACAACTATTTATTGCTCATTTAAAAGTATTGAATATTGTTTGAAGTTTTGTATTAAGTAATTTTCACCTCATCTCCATATTGACATATAATGAATAACATAGCAACATTGTAACTATTTATTGCTCATTTAAAAGTATTGATCTTTTTGTTTTTCATCCTTGTTAGATACCTTTCTACTTTTCATTATTTTTCATGTTGCATATCGTGACATATTGTTATATTAGTCCATTTTTTGTAGATGGTGTTTGGTGTTCGGGGGTATAATATGGCATCGGTAACAAATTCTAGCAACTTCCAATAACTTAACAACCTTCAAATTTTTACTGTGAACATATATAAACATGTCATGAGTTCCAACATATTTCTGCCAATAGCTGTTACAATGACAACATATTGAAGAAAGAGCCATCTTTCTTCAGCTTGATTATTCAAATTTTCCAATTTTTACAAAAACATCTCATCTGTAGCAATTATTACACCTTTGTAACCATTTGCAGGTAGCAATTGGCAATTTTTTGTTTGTTTTGCTATGACTCGAATAGTAATGGTTCAATTTTGTTGAAATTTTATATGTGAATTCTTTGAAGCATTTTTTCCAATGACATGGTTAGTAGATTTTTCAAAACTGATTGTCATTTGTTATTTTACATTTTCCGCTATTCTGAGAAAGTAATAGAATGATGTTGTTGACATTTTATATATGATTACTCAGATGAATACTACACTGTCTAATGAAAATTCGGCAAATAGATGACAATTTCAAAAAATGGCAGCCATGGTCTTCTTTCTTATGATTTTTGCTGTAACTCGCAATAAAAATAGTAGGATGATTTTGTTCATATTTGATGAACAAATTTTAATAAAAGTTTGAGGTTCAGACTTGTTAACTCAAACACTGGTTGCTGGATCTGGTTCAAATTTCATATGCTGATGCTTTAGCGACATAGGACCTCTGCTCACAAGAACATTTTTAAGCTGGCTGCTTATTTGACATTGTCACCAATTGTCACGAAGAATATAATTTTTGGTAACTTAAATGCAAGTCAAGGATTTGGTTCAAATTTTGTGGGCTAATGTCCCATGTAATGACACCTTTGCTCAAGAACAAAATGGCTGCTAAATGTAGAATGGCTACCTTTATATACAGGGTCCAAAACTTTTCAGGCTGATGTCCTATGGACATGAAACTCTTCCAAAAGGAATTTGGAAGATTTTGCCAAAGGTAGACAATATTAGTACAGTACTCTTCTACTTCCTGCTCATTTGTATTATGAAATTATAAAATGATGGGATTTGCTACTACAGGGAATTGCTGTTTTCTAGTTATTTATCCTTATTGTAGTAAACTCAGTTCTACCAGCAGCTAATGTTATCATGGATCCAAAGATGGCACCCCCTAGTGAACTTCAGGCAAAACTTTTACGACAAATAATCTTGACAGGGCTTTCGGATCACATTGCAAGGTATTTATTTCACATTTAAGAAAAAATTACTTAATTTCAGTAATTCCTCAAAATACTCAGTTGCTAAATTAGTAAGTTAAAGATTTGAAGACTTAGTGTGAATTTAGAAATATTATGAAGAATAGAGCATGAACAAGGACCATGCACAATTAGAGTTGAGTCATGTTGTGTTTAATTTTACTGTTTTGTTGGCAAATATTTCAGGAAGCTTCCTGAACCAAGTACTGGAACAAATGAAGAAAAGAAAAAGTTAAAGATGGCATATCAGGTTAGTCTCATGTATTCTGTATGTAGGCCTATCATTATTAATTTATTGTAATGTTACTCATTATACGACTTGTCAAACAGGTCACATACAGGCTCATAGCCAGGATTTGCCAGGGGGGTCACTTTTTCAAAATTTTCGGGGGTTCACTTTTGACTACTTATAGCCCAAAAAAGATCAAATCACTTGGAAAGTGCTCAGAATGGTGAAAAACTGCATGATTTTGAAAGGATTTTTAGCCAGGGGTGTTTGCTCACCCCCCCCCCCCCCTCTGGGTACGAGCCTGACACAACAGAATTGTATTATTGTTTTCCTCTTACTTGAGAAGACAATAGAATGTTGTTTATAGTTTGAATATTTACAACAATATTTTCAATATCCAGACTTAAGATTTAGGCCATTTTATCTGCACATACTTGAGCCTGATTAAGAAGTGCTGATATTTCCTGATCTTTGATTCATAATGTGTATGTTCAATTAATTTGCAGTTCCATTTTTTTCTCATTCTCAAGTGTGTCCAAATCAGATATAAAGTGGGTACAAACCTATTTTAAAATACAAGTGGTCACTCGGCTCACTTGCTTTAATGCTCGGGAGATCACTGCTCCATGCTCAATGGCATTGTGATTGTATAGATTTGCATAATTGTTTTAGAGTATACACCTAGAAGAGCCTGTCTATATACATCCAAATTCTGTGCTATACAAACAAAACCATGAATATGTCGTCTTCCAAGACATCACTGAAACATCGAAACTCTACATGAGAGGTGAGATCAGCTAAATTGTATTTTCATAACTGCATATGATAAATGGGACAAACTTTGGATGAGATGACGAGGATAAAGATAGAGAAAAGGGAAACTTCCAGAGAGAGGGTGCTAAGAAGGAAGAAAAACATCCAACACCTGGCACCATGTCAAGCGTTTATATACTAACACATACCTATTAGTACTCACAAACTTAATGGCAGATAACGAATAGAACTGAAATGATATATACATGTAATGAATATATAAACTCGTACATGCATAATTATATAAACCTGAAAATCATTACAGTATTCTCCAATATTGTAGGTGTTTCCGTGATAAAAGCAGAGTGGCTGCCAGTGTTTGTGCCCCATGGTTGTACATTTTCTAAGCCTCTTGACTCACCTCCGCCAAGATACGATAGTTCATCAGGGAATGTTCTCGCACACATGACGAGTACATTTGGTAAGTTCCCTGATATTTGTATTGGTATCATCCATAATCTTTGAAAAATCTCTTCTCTCACAAGTGGTGACATATAGTTATCTTCTCCAACTTTTTTATGGATGATATTTGCTGTTTTGATGTTTCATTGGCAGCATTCGGTGGTTAGCTATTAGCATCTGTAACAAATTGCAGATGGTGACATTATGCATGTTAATGCCTTGTTAAACTTGCCTTTAAAGATGATGCTCTGAATGATAATAATGGTAAGTGAGACATTTTGCTTCATTGGTATAAGTTGTATGTTAATAGAGACACTTTATTACAGGGGTTCGTTGTTTGGAAATCCCTGCAGTTGAGCTGGAGTACCCAGAGTGTATAGACCGCGTCAAGTATTTTGCTAGGTTCCAATTGGTATATGTTGTATGTTAATAGAGACACTTTATTACAGGGGTTCGTTGTTTGGAAATCCCTGCAGTTGAGCTGGAGTACCCAGAGTGTATAGACCGCGTCAAGTATTTTGCTAGGTTCCAATTGGTATATGTTGTATGTTAATAGAGACACTTTATTACAGGGGTCCGTTGTTGGGAAATCCCTGCAGTTGAGCTGGAGTACCCAGAGTGTATAGACCGCTTCAAGTATTTTGCTAGGTTCCCATTGGTATATGTTGTATGTTAATAGAGACACTTTATTACAGGGATTCGTTGTTGGGAAATCCCTGCAGTTGAGCTGGAGTACCCAGAGTGTATAGACCGCGTCAAGTATTTCGCTAGGATCCCATTGGTATATGTTGTATGTTAATAGAGACACTTTATTACAGGGGTCCGTTGTTGGGAAATCCCTGCAGTTGAGCTGGAGTACCCAGAGTGTATAGGCCGCGTCAAGTATTTTGCTAGGTTCCCATTGGTATATGTTGTATGTTAATAGAGACACTTTATTACAGGGGTCCGTTGTTGGGAAATCCCTGCAGTTGAGCTGGAGTACCCAGAGTGTATAGGCCGCGTCAAGTTTTTTGCTAGGTTCCCATTGGTATATGTTGTATGTTAATAGAGACACTTTATTACAGGGATTCGTTGTTGGGAAATCCCTGCAGTTGAGCTTGAGTACCCAGAGTGCATAGACCGTGTCAAGTATTTCGCTAGGTTCCCATTGGTATATGTTGTATGTTAATAGAGACAAATTATTACAGGGGTCCGTTGTTGGGAAATCCCTGCAGTGGAACTTGAGTACCCAGAGTGCATAGACCGTGTCAAGTATTTCGCTAGGTTCCTTTTAGAGGGACTTGTATGTCCGAAGCTGAAGTGCTTCAGAGAGGATCTGCTGTCTGTGCCTGCCACCATGAATAAGTCATGGGCCAAGTAAGTAATTATGTAGCACATATCTTTGAGATGCATTGACAAAATATAGCTACTTAAGCAATTCATTGTGTATATTTCGATTTGCAATTTGTATTAGTCATATTCGTTTAAGACATGTGCCATAACACATAGAGAAAAACCTGTCTAATTCAAATGCCACTTGGAGTGAGCTGAAGTGATCTGATTGGCTGGTGTTCACATTTTGAGTTTTTAACATGGAATTATGTAACAGTATATGGGATTGAAAAAAGTGTTTAAATTGACAGTTGTTCAGATGGATTTACTGGTTTTACTGTAAACATTTGATGTTTATTTCTTTCAGATTGCAGCCACGTACAGAGAGTCTACTGAAAGAATTATTAACAGAACAAGTTGACTGCAAAACTAAACTGTTAAAGATCTGGGAAAGTCAACCTGCATGTAAGTCACTTGATTTTGTAGCTAATGATGTTAATACTTGATTGTGAATAAAGTGTTTTGTGAATGTTGGAAGCTAGGTACTGTACTATATAAAGAGACCAAAATCAAATAAAAAAAAGACTCAATTAGGTATAATGGGACACCAAGGACAATGCTACACTTCTCTCCTAGTTAAGAAATGTGACTTTAGATTATAATTGGATACTTATACAAAAATGGGATGTATTAAACTTGACCCTAGACTATTTTAGTAAATGGCTATTTTCCAATACAATATGTACTGAAGCATATGCTACATCTCTTCTAAATCTGTTGATACCTAACAAGGTATCAATGTAGGTTAGAATTTTATTTCACTTCTTTAATGTAACTAGACTAATTTGGCAACAGTTGTTTCTTGTATTTGATCTAAGCCTGATTGTCCGTTGTTTGGAAACATACATGGTACACCCCTTTTTAATGGACTCACCTGAAATAAACACTAGTCAACATAGCTATTTTTTCGTACACTTCAAGAGGATCATTTTTTTTATATTTCAGATTTATTATCTGCCTACATGCAGTGGATCCCACAATCTCGGCATTTAGAACTAGAAGCCATGTGGCCACCATTATAGGACTGACAGTGTTGCTATGACAACACAGTTTATGCATTGGGTCCCTCAATCTCGGCACTTAGAAATAGAAGCCATGTGGCCACCATTATAGGACTGACAGTGTTGCTATGACAACACAGTTTATGCATTGGGTCCCTCAATCTCGGCACTTAGAACTAGAAGCCATGATGCCACCATTATAGAACTGACAGTGTTGCGATGGCAACACAGTTTATGCAGCATATCTCACAATCTCGTCACTTACTAGAAGCCATGTGGCCACCGTTATATGACTGACAGTGTCACTATGGCAACAAAGTTTATGCAGCGGATCGTACAATTTCGGCACTTAGAACTAGAAGCCATGTGGCCACCAATCACTATAGGACTGAAAGTGTCACTATGGCAACACGGTTTATGCAGTAGATCCCTCAATCTCGGCAGTTAGAACTAGAAGCAGTGTGGCCACCATTATGGGACTGACAGTATTGCTATGGCAACATGTTTTTTGCAGTGGCAAAATCTCGGCACTTAAAACTAGAACAAGGTGGTCATCAATATAGACAAGTGGCAGTGTTGCTATGGCAACACTGTTTTTACAGTGGATCCTACAATTATGGCACTTAAAACTAGAAGCCATATGGTCAACGAAATAGGACTGGCAGTATTGCTATGGAAACACAGTTTAAAACATTGTAAATAATGTTGAATGACAGGCAGTGGTTATGATTGGGTGTTGCATGTACATACTAGGCATACTAGGAAAAATTATTTGAATATGAAATGAGAAATTATTAAAAACAAATTAATGTTTCATTTGTGTTATGTAACTGTATATTAATTTTAATACTTCATACCAATCGAACTCCTATATTTGGTAACTTAATGCCTGTCAGTTTGTCAACTAAAAATCTTCATGTTCTCATTTTCTGTCAACATGTACCAATGTTTCTTTTCATCAGACACTAGGATTTATATCAAAACAAAAGTGGTAATTCCATGTCACTGTTATAACTCCATGTATTCCTACTGATGTTCTAGGTACATAACGAGCGGGAATATATAGTGTATCTAGGGAGCGTTCACCAA